ATGCCACCTGGGCTTGGAATGGGCAAGGGAAGGAGGGACAGCACACAGATATGTGATAATGGTAAACAACCATGCGGTCACCTCTGCCACCATTGTTTCTTTACTGTAATGTGTACAGACTGCTTCCAGCTTTGGTAATAAGTCTAATTAGGCCCCAAAGAATCCATGATATTTAAATAACCAAGTGCTAATAAAGTCTCTCTGGTAACTTCCTCATTAGGAAAATTCAAGTGAAAATAATCATGACCCATCAACTTTACTCTGATGAGTAATTTCACTGGAGGCTTTTCAAATCTGGAAGGAGAATGAAATATGGCTTGAAATGAACACTGCTTGCCCATTAGGGCAACTGCTGTGCAGTGTAGCAGTGAAGTCTAAAAACCATAAAGAACAAGTAGACTCTACCAATTCTGAAAGGTCTAGAGTTGTATCAGCTGCTTGAAGAACGGATTGATTACATGCCTTTTAATTAAACAATTAAAATGTCTGTATTACTAAGATTTGTATCATTTTCAGATCTATCTTTGAAAGTGGAGGAAAGGAATCTTTCCTTAACTTACGCTGGTGTCTACAGTCTGAACAGAGAAAACTTGGTCACATGCTTTGGTATCTAGCATCAACTGCTAATAATACACTGTACACAGGGCACCCTTTGAATCCTGTTTGGAAATGGCCGTTCATTCAAGATATATCTCCCAGGCTGTTCATCAGGAGCAGAGTGTTGGAACGGATCTTCTCATACTGAAAAATGCATAGCTGGCTTCCAGCCCATTTTCAAACATTATTCAAAGTGATAGTGTACTATCATATAACACAGGACTTAGGTACCTGACGCAACAACTGCTCCCACTCCAACTTGCCTGTATGCAAAGGTAATCTTTGAGTTGCTTCTCCAGGTGCTCCTGAGTGACCAGAGAGGCAGTTTTTTTTAGTGGTGGCACCCTGTTTGTGGAGTTCTCTCCTCAGAAAGTCATGCCCAACACTAATGCCGTTATCTTGTTGATACCAAGTAAAGATTTCATTCTTCTGGGATTTTGATAGATATTAATGTTGCTGAACATGTCATTATTTACTGGGTTTTTAAAAATCTTGTTTTGGAAAGTCACTCAGGAAACTTTGCTGGAGGGCAGAATATAAAACTTTTAAAATCAATTAATCATCTACATGTGATTCTTGAAATACTGAAAGGACTATGTCGTAACTTTTAGTTCAGTAAGTCAAAGTTACATGCCCTACTACAAAAAAAGGACACTGCTGTCTTCTTCTTTTTGTTTTATTTAACCAATTAAATTTCCGCACTTTTTCAAATTACCAGAAAAGTAAAAAAAAAAAAAAGCTTTATTCAATTTTCTAAACTGAGTAAACATGCAGACCCATCTTAAACCAGTGGGAAATTGGGGCCAAAATTCCCTTTCTGTTAAAGAAAGCTGCCATTTGAGTGTTGCTGCTGTGTAACCCATTCTTTGTGGTTGGGTTTAACGAGAGTTCCCATACGAGTCATACAGAAAATAATGGATGTTCAGTCATGGTTCTATTAACAAACAAGCATCACTGATTTGAATTGTCTACTGAAGGGGCTGTTTGCTAAATCATTAGTATTATTGGCTATTGAAGGCTTTGCTAACTACATTATTATTATTATAAATGTGGCTATTGTTGTAATCAAATGTGTATACTAACGTGTGCACATTTGACTGAACAGCTTCAGCACTTTGGAAAACAGCTCATGCTGATCTTGAGACCACTCGCTTCTACTCAGTCAAGATTCAGAAATCCATGGTTTCATGCCTCCCACTGACTCATCGGATTTTAAAAAATGGCTATAGCCTCCTTTTACTATGTTTGTTAGAGGTAGATGACGTTTGCAGGCACTGCCATCCCTTAGGAGGGGGTTTCTGCTGCCAAATTTCAGAAAAAAAATATTTGTAGTAGTTTTTGTCCTACATACCTTTATATTATGATTATTATTTTTAAGGAATTTGATGACACCACTTTTATTTCTTGGAATAATTAGCTGAAATTTGCAGGAAGGGTTGAGCCTTCCAAAGGCATGGAACCTGCCGAGTTTTAGATGAACAAATTCAGGGCTTCTTGTGCAATAGCAATCTTGATGTTTTGTGGGTATCCAAAAAATGAGGATGCACTTATTCACTTATGTTCCTTGTGGACCATTGTTCTAAAATTGACAGATAGCCTAAAGGTGTCTGTAAGTAATAAAGCTGCAAAGTTTCAGAAGGCAGATGCAACAATTTCTGTGCAAGGGAAATCTTTATAATTTTTTGTGGAGTAGTTTATCATCCCATTCCCACTCCCCACCCTTTTAGGGCAAAGAGTATGAAAATGGCACATGTCATAGAGGTGGCTGAATGATGGCTGAAAGTTTCAAATCACAGGTGCAGCAGTTCATGTGGAAAAGGAAAGGAGTCTTCCTATTACATGTGTTTTTGACTTACTGGACCTTTCCTTTGGGTCATTGGTATGAAATTAGCATACAGCAGAGATACATGCAATGTTTCATAAGGTTACTTAAACTTATTTTAAATTATCACAATTTCCTATCTTTTCCTATCCCCTAGTTGCAGGGACTAGAGAATTAAGATGACTGAAAACCAGTTTAAGTCCACCTCTCCCGTTAGTGAAGCCTGCTTGGGTAGGTAGAATAACTGTTCTGCATCTTTGTCCTCTGCTGAAGCACAGTGACAGACAAGGCCCACATAAAATGTGTCCTGTGATTAAAAAGTTAATGTGTCCATTAATCAAGTCCTCTCCTTCTCTCTCCCCATCAGCATCAGAAAATGAAAGCAAAGAATGCTTTCACTGGACTGCTGTGTGTAATCAATGAGGATTCAACAAGCCACTGTGACTCATTCATGCCATCGACTTTGCCTAATTACCCACTCGTTTTCTCATCTGAGGTTGGGAGGCATGGCTTGTTGAAGAGAAAACAACCCTCAAACAACCACAGGTCATTGCCTGCCATTCTGAAGCTGAAACTTGAAACAAACCACATGTGGGTCAAGGCCCTTATAGAATTGTGTGGATTCTGGTTGCTTTGGAGGGAAACTGGCTTCATGCCAGAAAGCATCAATGGTCCAAAGGGGCCTGATTTATTCAGGCTTCAGCCAAATTTGATGCACATGCCTAGATATGATGGTTGTTTCTAGATATGATGTGGCTTCCCCTGCATGGAACTCTTTTCCTATTGATTTGGACAGGCACCAATGTTCTGTTGTTTTTGGCACCTGCTGAAGACATGTTTATTTAAGCAAGCCTTCCCTGTTTTTATTGGTGCAATATAAATTTAAATGTTTTAATTCTCCCTTTTGATTCTTTTTTCTTCCTTTATATTGTTTACCTCCTTGGAACTTTATTACAAATAAAATAATATTAAGGGTGCAATCCTATGCATGATTATATAGAGAAACAATTCCTACAATTCCTTGATTTCCACAGAAAACCACACTTGGGATTGTAGGCCTAAACAGTCATAGGATTGTACTCGAAAGCATATAAAGTAAACAAATGAAATAAAACATATTTTCTTTAGGGAAATTTTAACTACAGTGCATTTGTAAGTTAGATGTATTTTAGGATTCTCTCTGTATCTTGCGTACATATATATTGATTTTCTTTTCTAGTTAGGTGCTTTTAGAATGAATAGGAAAAGCAGTATACAAATAAATATGATGATGATGACAGTGATGATGGATGGGAAGTCTACCTTTAGAGAGATATTTCTTTCAGCAGTCAATCAGTTAAAATAATGTTGCTATTTAATTCAAGCTGCAAGCTCAAGCCATTTTAACCAGAGAAAGGTTATCACTGAAATTAAGGATACTGACTGTAGCAAAGTACAGCTACAATATATTAAGCTGAAGTTTCCTGCTGAGAAACATTAGAGGTCCTGGATGAAATTACTTTCAAATTTTGTATGTTTATGATTGTAACCACACTCCTGAAAATAGCCAGTATGATCTCAAATGTGAGTAATGCTGCAGCAAGCAGAGATTAAAGTATATCACACAAAGTCTCCATTCTCTCTAGTTTGGGGGAGGTGTCCTTTTCCATTTAAGAAGCCTGAAATAATGACTCCTCCTTTCTGTCCTACAGATACATTAAAATTAAGTATTAATCATAAATAAATGCCTCTGTCTTATGACCAACTGCCTGAGAGAGAGTGTGCATATGGATAGGACAAGCAGTAGGCCATTCACTGGAAAAGAACTTAGGAACTCATGTAAAAGTAAAAAACAATGCTGAAAACATGTCTAGTTTTTTAATGATGGAGGAAAAACCTCAGCCAAAGTGTCAGTAACTACTTTGCCACAGCCTTTCATGAGTTTTTGTTTTGTTTTTTGCTTTTGCTGAATTTCTTCAAGCACAATCCGCCAGAAAAGCTTCCAGAGCAACCCCCATCGAAATTACTGGGAGTGCATCATGCTGTTACTTGTTTTGTTTGGGCTTGCACTTCCCAGTAGACTGTGTCCTTCATCTCAAACAGCTTTCCATGGCACTCCTGAGTAGCTTGAGTTTACAGCTTAAATGAGTTAAAAATTGAAAATACTTTCATGCACCCTTCTGGAAGTGCAAAATAGTGAATAATGTAAAGCATCTCCTATCATCATCATCATCATCATCATCATCACCACTACCACCATCACCACCAAATGATCTACTTTAGAATCTGTAATTCTGTTCTTAAACATGCTCAACATTTATCTGTTCACATTTGTTCTGCATGGTTTTCTTAGTCACTGAACAGCCAGAACAAAATTTAAAATTCGTTATTTGCGTCTGCTTTTTTTTTTTTTTTTTGTTTTTTTTTTTTTTTTTTTTATTTTTTTTTTTTTTTTTTTTTGGTTTGCTCTTTTTGGGTGATAAGCTTTTAATTATAGGGAAAGAATATGATTACACATTACCATGCTCCAGCTGGAAGCAGTTATACTGAAGTCACTCCCCCTCCCTCACCACTACAGGAAGAATGATTTCCAAGGCCTTACCCTTCTTGTCTTGGTGATTATGGGATGAAACGGCCACATATGGATTTGTGTTCTCAGACGAGTCAACTGGATCCTTCCAATCTAGAATATGCTCCCTAGCATCGTAGCCCTGTTGGGCTGGAGAGCCTGAAGTAGTGGTGGTGGGAAGTAAACTGGAGTGCCCTGTTTGCATCATAAATACAGTTAGGGAAAGTGAGAAAAAACAGCAACAATTCCAAAGGTATTTCCTGAAGGAAGCATATGATTTACACATTTAAACATCAATGAAGGAATGTATATTCTTCAAAGAAAAGTATTTGTACATATGTGAACAAATGTGTACACAGCACCTGGAAAAGTGACAGAATTATGAATGGGCTAAGTGGATTAGCAGAAGTTTGCTTCTTGCAGATATTCTGAAGAGTGTGAGTTTGTGTGTGTGAAGAAGAGGGAGGGGGAAGGGAGAGGCAGAGAGGGAACAAGGAAGGCCTCTGGTTATAGAAACTTCCACTACCTGTGTTTTAGGAATCTTCCCTCCTTCCCATGATGCAGCTCACCCCATTCAGCAGTGTCTCCATGCAACATCTGCAGATGGCTGGATGCACTGCTATGGGAAGGAAGGTCTGGAGCAGTCCACTTCCCCCCAACGCAGTTGGTTCAGCTGAAATTTGGATCCAGCTCCCTGATAGCTTTTATGATAGAACTGTATGAAAGGCAAAGCATTGTGTATGATGGTTGAATACTCTGAAATGACAGAAGTGCAGAGACAAGAGCAGCGGCAGCAGCAAATGATGAAAGGAAAGGCAACCTGTGTCATGATTTTGTAGAAATAATGGTTTGTATCCAGGATTAGTCTAACTTAAGTCATGTTCATTTCAGTGGTCCTTCTCTAAATAGGATTAACAGTGAAAACAACTCAGTTTAATCTTTACAACCCATTTCTTTGGAGTCATTAAATTTTAAACTTGAAACACCACTTTGAATAAAAATATTCTTGAACACAACAAGAAATGGGTCTTTTCTGAGCTGCAGCTGATCATAGGCACACTGGAAGCTGTTATTTAGGAAGTTAAGACTACTTTGCCATCTATCCCAATATTGCTTATTCTTGACTGGCAACAGCTCCTTCAGAGTCTCAACAAAAGACCAAGAGGACTTTTTTCTTGGATCAAACTAGCGTTGAGAAACAAATAAAAGATGGAGCAGGACATCAGGTTTCAGGCAATATGGGATGAGGTTTAATATGGATAAAGGTGCTTCTGCTGAGCCAGGAGTCCAGGCTAATGGATTTATTTAGGTCTTTGTAAAAATAAACAAATATTGAACTAGTCCCAGAAGCAACCAGGAATATAGCACAACTGTTGTAGTATTGGGATTAAGAAACCACTCTTGACCACTTTTGTTAGAAATGAAAATGACAGCATTTTGTGTCAATTCCTGGAAGTTTTCAATGCTGCCTTTCTTCCCAGAACACACTGAAGCAATTGTAAGTGAGAACTCAAGCAAGATCTTTCTTTTCCAGGACAGGTTGAAGCAAGGAATCTAGTTAGTCATGTTACTGACAAAAGGTGATTCTGGTTATGAATGCTGGCATTCTGGGACTACGCATAGGTATAGTGGCATATCTGGGCTGCAGAACTGTTGGTTCATTCAGAATTTAACTAGCAAACCACATATCTCTTAGTTTTCATGAAGCCTGTCTCTAAGGGGTGCTTGGGATGATTAGGAAGTGGCAGTACATTTGAGATCATCGTGCATTCAGGAAACCAGTGGGCTCATTAACTGCTGTGTGGGGAAAAGGGGGCATAAACAGAGCAGAGTTGAGACAGAAGGATCTGGAAGATGCATGCTCATATGGATTAATCAAATGCAGAATGACAGAAGGGGAAGCTGTTCTTCTCAGCCATGGGAAGGGATCAGCGTGACTTAAGAAGTTTTGATATACCACCTCCTCGTTTATGTAACTGATTTGCAGGAAAGCAGGTCAGATTTAGTGTGTTTTACTCCATCTAAAGCCACAGGATGCAACAGCTAATCATTAACATGATTAATTTGTAGGATTGTACCCTGGACTGAAGCATTAAACTGACAAGGGCACTGTATTATTCTTTATCATGTCAAGGAATGCAGTTCCACCAGTTGTCATTAATAATGAAACTCAGGAGCTGCCATTTAGGAGTCCAAAAGTAATTCCTTAAAATTTATAATTACTTAAATTGTGAGTAAAAGGGAACAGGAAAAGAAAACCAAAACAATAACCCAGCAATATATTTGCTTGACATTTGAGAAAAAAAACTAGAATTCTTAGAAAACATTTTAAAATGCTGGAGATTTATGCTTCAGTCTTTTGAAGGATTCTAATATACTTGTTGCCTTGTATAGGAAAATATTTTCTGCTTTGGCAAAAGGAATGTTATAGAAAAATGTAAGTGAAATCCAGTAGCATCTCTAAATGGACTGCTTAAAAACAGAAAGAAAAAAAAAAACATTCCTAACAACTGTATTCCTGCCAACTTCATGGTCATCCCTAAGGAGTAGCTCCCAAACCTGATGTATATATCTATGTATGTATTCATTATATTGTAAGGCAGAGAGTAACCGTATTGGTAGTTATTCCCCAGGCCCTGCCTTAAATGTTACATCATAAAATCTTGTTCATTTTTACAAGGGATGCCGTTCTTAGCACAAGAAAGAAATTAGTTGTATCTAAAGGCATTAGAAGCGGATGGAGCCATTGCCAAATAGCACTAACATTTTATACTTGGATTTGATATATATTTTGTGCCCATATCCCAGTACAGATACTTTAGTTTAGCTGTGTTCCAAGAGGGCATGTTATGGTTAAACTGTACATATGGTTAAGGAAAACCTTTTCTTAATACGGTAATCTAGGGGAAATATTTGCTCAGGGGACCCATTCCCTGCAGTAAGTGTTCTTGAACCATATGCTTCAACTGTGTGGAGAACTCATTGATAATAAAAAGCTATAGCTATGTAAAGAAATTAATGAGCACCAGATGGTTGTAGGGCAAGGAAGTATTTCACGCAAATGTGAAAAATCAGCCGATTCACTCTGTTACTAATGTGTTAGTCTACTGTACATTGAGAAATGATTTTCTACATGCAATCAAGATAAACTTTTCTCACAATGAAAGAGGGAGAGGCAGGGAGAAAGAGAGAGTGAGAGGAAGGTAGGCAATGAAACTGGATTGTACTAATCTTCTCCAACCTAGAAATAGTCTTGCGAAAGCTAACTGAACACTCTTGACAGGGAAATGCACCAGCAGTCAATGTCTTTTGGATATACTTACCCTTGGAAGATTGGTTTAACACAAAGTTCTATTCGATCCTTTGCCTTTATACTTGGACAAAGTATACTTAGTATATACTAAGTATACTTAGTATATACTAAATATATTCTTATATAGTGTTTAAAGACTTGCCTAATGCTCAGTAAGCCTAATGCTCCATTGAATTCAGTGCTGACAAGACAGACAGTTTTCTAGGATCTCACACAAAGGTCATTCTTGGGACTGCTACATGAGCTATTTTAATCAGCCTCATATATGGAAAGTCTATGCTTTGCTATTGAGCTATTTCACCTCTGCTCATTTCTTTAGAGTGCCTGTACATTAAACATTTTTGCACAGTATGGTATCCTATGCTATTTCAATGTGTCTACTCTAAGTAACATTGGATACAGCGCATAATTCTCTGGGAAGTATAATGACCCACTTTAATGTGATAAGAGGATTATGGCCATCACAGTGAGGAGCCCTTGGTACTGTTTGTTATGCACTTTTGAAATGTCTAGATAACTGAAAATGCAAATCAAGCATATACAGTCTGCATTAATAACTCTGAAAATAGTTTCAATTTAATTATTCAAAATAAGTTAAACTAATTTTTCCCAAAATACTTAAAATGCATTCTCTTGCATGAACTTATAATAATTTTTAAGCACGGTCTTTTTCAAATTCAATTTAAAATTCTAAGATTCCCAGGTTGTTAATGTGAGTCTGATTTAGAAGTCTGCATTATATGGAAGCATCATATATATGATAACATGATTTATAAAACTCCATAGTTATAACAACAAAATATGATGAAGACACTGATTGCAAGGAAACCATTAAATGTCAAAGGTCTTGGAAATGTTATTCAGTCTGTAGTTACTTTTGATTTGAGAGATGCTCTACATCTTTTGCTGTTAAACCTATTATGAACTGGGAAAGTTAATACTACAGAGAGCAACAGGATGGAGTGGTGGCAAAATGAGGGCTTGGTTCACTAAAACTGATGCATGTTAAAGAGTAAAATTTGACTGTTTTGTCCTCCAGTCTCCATGCATGCGTATTTGACTCTTTGACATAACAGGTGTTTTGCATGGTTGGCTTGATTCCTTTGTGTATGGGAAACTATTGTGCATTAAAGGTCAAATATGCAGCATTTTCATTTTTGTCACCTGCTCTGTAAATAATTGCAGGAGTTTATCTGCCGGTGTGCAGATGCCAAAAAATCCCAGGGACCAAATACGCAAGGAATGAACAAGGAAAGAAAATACAATAGGCAAAAATATCTAAAGGGAAAAGAACATTTATCTGCTTGGCATTGGGAACATATTATGCTATTTTCCTCAGTCACATAATTTTGTATTTCATTTGGTTCAGTAAGTAAGCTAAATGACTATCTAAATTTTAGTTGAAACAAACATAATTTCTTTCTCATGTAAAAGTAATTTCTTTTTACATGGTTATAATGGACAGCAAAAATAATAGGGTATATAAAATAGATGGCTGCATAATAAACATCATAAATAAATTTATCTTATTTCATTTGGTATTTTGAACAATGAAGAAGAGGAAAGGCTATTTACTATACAACTGCCAAGACTGTGAGTTTTAATTTTATTAGCAGGGAAGATCTTACCCACTGACCATATCAGGATCTGACTTCACAGTAATCCTGGTGTGATGGGAAAGAAGAATGTGACAGCTTTTCTGTGAAATTTTTAAAAACTAAAAGCAGACAAGGCAGTTGGTAAAAATGAGGAAGGGACTAACAGTATGAATTGTCTTGATTTATACTTTTTTTTTCTTTTTGGCCTTTCTGCCACACCTATTTATTTCTAATTGTGCACTAGTACTGTTGAAGTCCTAGGATAGCTCACTATCCTATCCACTCAGATGCCCATGAAGGAATAGTTATGCAGCCCATCCACTATATAAAAACCTGGTTGCAGATGGGTGTCAATCTGCTTCCAAATGAATAAATAAAATTAAAAGCAAATCTTTACAAACATGGGAAAGGAAGAAGCACTGCTATAGGGTTTTGCTTCCCAAATGTAGCCAGGGATAACTTAAATGGGCTTGCAAAAGGTTGTAGGTATATGTAACAGAGTAGAAGGGTTGTGGTGTCCTTTACCACAAAGAAAAAAAAACAGCAATTGGCTGGATCCATCCACAGAAGGCTTCTGTTCCAACAGGGCATTTCTGCTATCAGAATGTGGAAATTTATTTTTGATACCACTGCACATGGAACCGCCCCCCCCCCCCCAATCCCTTGAAATTATGGTTTCCATGGTCCTGGTATGCCACTAATACTTCCTCTGAAAAAAAATGGCTACCCTAGGAGCCTCTCCATCTAGCCTTTACTAGCCTCCTTTGACTAGTATCAGCAGCACGGATGAATGAGGAAGAGGCAGGGAACAATGCACATAGGGCATGTGCCTGGAATATGTGGCAACAGTGGGAGGCCTCAGAGGGGAAGATGGAAACCACATGATTATGTGGCAGGTAGATCATGGTAAACAGCACAAACCTTGCGAACCACACAGGATTGCTTGTCATGTTATGTGAATTCAGTCAACTGCAAGTAATGTCTTCTGAGAGAAAATGTTGCATTCTCCCAGGTACTTAACCTTGTGCAATCATATGGTTTCTTTTGAGTAGCAGAGCACCTTTGAGGGGCAAACTTGCAGATAGTATACAATGGAAAATTATGATTCCAGTTGTCTATGTCCTCAATTATTCCTGAAACGGTAATCTTTTTAATGGAGTTTCATTTAAGTGATGGAAGGTTATACATCACATTACATTTGTTTAGGGCTGGGGTGCTAATTAAGCTGGTCCAAAAGAGAAACAACCTTCAGTGAAACCTATCCATTCTTTACAGCAGCTAGAGGAACGTTTGCAGATGCTTATTGCATATACTCCTGAGGACAAATGGTTCAAAAGCTGCAAGACACTACTGAAATTATAATCCTACTGTTTGTGAAAGCTATGGAAGGCCCAGGCTCCCCCTACCCTTTTCAAAGCCTAATCTTCTGCTAATGCTTCAATTTCTGCTGAATGTTTAGAAATATAGTATGGAAAAGCTCTCTTTTATTATTTACAGAGCAGAAGTTCTTTATTAAAATGAAACACTGTCCCCCATGCAAAGCAAAGGTCAAACATCTCTCTGTTGGTCTTCCTGTGTTTTCATTATAGTATCTGCAAACAAATGTCACTTGCAAATGTTACAAGCCAAGATCGAAAACAAGCCTAGGGGAAAAAAAAGTCTGATTTACTAATCAAGACTGTAATCCTACATACTTACCAGGGAGTAAGCACCCTGAACTGACTTCTAGTAGACAAGCATAGGAATTGCACTGAAAATGACTTATTTATGTGTGACAGTTCTTTGATTCTTTTGTATTTGTGTATACTTTGAAGGTTAAGTTCTCTTTGACCAGCCTTCAGAAGCTGTACGAAATAGATGGAACTAGATTTTAAGAGAGAAACAGTTTTCCTTTTATAAGGCCCCACCACGGGAAATTCTCTCCCGTGAATGCCCTTATGGTTTCAGAAAAGGCATGACCAGAAAAGAGGATAAAAGAAAGTACATCTTTATCTTTACATAATAATTCTACATGTTAATTTATATGTATAAATGCAAATACAGAAATTTAATTTATAATTTCTTTAAAAAATGTTATATATTTCACCCTAACATAAAGGCTGAGACCAGGTAACTTAGGTGTCTGTTCCATATGGAATCTATCTTAAAGTCTTTCTTGAGCACAGGTAGTTGAGATGGAGAGCTGCCAAAATGGGTATCATGCAATTTTAAGGAACCTGTTTTCTGCATAGTCAACGTAAAGTTGTTCTTAAATTAGATTGTAATCTTATACATGTATGGTATTGCACTATTTATTGGCCATATACATTGAATTGTGTGGGAGCTGTTTCCAAGTGAATGTATTTAAGATTTATTACATTGATTAGAGATAGTCAACTGGCAGCTCACACCTTGGATGCAGCCAGTGAACAATTTTATCTGCCCATCCTCAAAATTTTACCAAATTTGAATGAAGTGACTTTTTAAAAAAGCTGGTTCACAATTTAATTTGTAGAGAAAAGTATTTCAGGTTGTATGCAAGAGAGGGATATCACAATCCATATCTATGCCTTCTCTTTAGATTCTATCTGCAAAGTGTAAATTGCTATATTTATATGCAATGTTATGTCACAGCTTTATAATTTGATGCCCTTAATAGTTGATGGTGTCAACATTATTGCAGAGCCTGAAAAGTCCTAAGTGATTGGATTATGCAGCAAAATATACTTCCAGTTCCCATGTTTCTGTCTGAAAATACAGTTATTCCTGTCCTAGAGCCTCTTCTTCTAAAGTTTCGTAGTTCAAACATATGAATTTACAAGTTATCTGCCTTTAGCTTGCATTATGTTCAATAGAGAAATTCTGTTGCGGGGATTAAATAATATATTTCAAAGAAGAGAATGGAATCTTGTATCAGTTTAGTGAACTAGGCCTCAAAATGGAAATGACACTACTTTGGGAATGAAACTATCAGCTAGCACAAGGACCAGCAGAATTCTTTTTTAAAAAAATCCAAACACTGACCATACAATGTAGTGTAAGACATTTCATAATCTGATGAAGTAGTTGAAATGTCTATGAAAAAATAAAATTAAGGCACAATATTAAAACAATAAAAATGGAAATATTTGACAAGACTGTAAAACATATGATTCCTCCAAAATTGATCTGCACAGACAGTTATTAAAATGATGTGACTAGGGAACTTCCTTACCATTCAGTGCTACGAACGAATCTGAAAAAAGAGAAAGGGGAGGAGGGGGAGGGGAAAGAATTATTTCTAATATCCTTCTATGTTTTCTGTCCACAAAACCTCATATACATCCTTATACTATTCTTTCATACTGTGGCACTATCTAGTGTTAAAATCAGCCTATCTGTGCTGACTGAGCAGGATATCATCACATGACAACCCGCCATGGCTTAATCAATGTGTCGTGGCTGTTGCATCATGCTGTGTACCCATGGGCACCAAATTTACATGGCATCCATGCAGTATCTTGCAGATTGCAGTACCTTGTCATGCTGTGCGAACCAAGGCAGCAGGAGGTTGTCTGATGGTTAGACAACCCTCAAAGAACCCTAAAACAAGCCGTGGGCTCCTTGACAATCGTCCGACTCTCAAACAACCCCCTCCAGTTGGATAAACATGCCACAATAAGTCAGGTGCTTCTGGGTGCTTGGCATGATGCAACAGACCCATGGGTAAATTAAGCCATGGTGGGCTGTTGTGCTGTGGGAACCAGGACATGATCTCATAAGGTTTTATAATCACTGCATCTTGCCTTAAATAAAAGCTTGATTTTTTGCAAATCAAGATAAATATTACGAAATATATTGTATTTGAGCAGATGTTAGTTCTACTCATGCATGGAAAGGAAAGGGTCTTCCAATATGCATGAATGAATCAGAGAGGGTCTTCCAAACAATGCCACATTCTGGAGTGTCTTCCATTCCAGGGAAGCATGTCAGAGGATTTGAGGATCGCAGTTAGTGGAACATTTAGTGATGGCCCCTCAACTGGAAGTGTCTTTGGTTAGCATATTGGAACATTTGGATCCAAGTCACAGTGTATAGCTTATTCATCTTCAGTCTCTTTCACACTAATTCAGTTACTTCATATAATGTAGCTTTGATTTTAAAACCATTAGCTCTTCTGAGAGGTTTTGACCTGAGGACTGAGGCAAACATATCTAAAATTAAATGCATAGACTTTATTTATAATTGGGGACCTTAGTTTATTAACACTGATGCCTCCAACACTGAAGTTCTCTTTTCCTGATCAGAGCTTAGCTTAAGGCAGAAAGGGATATGACAAATCATGTGAGTAAATCATCAAAACAACAAGAGAAATGGCAAGGACAGTAATATCATAGATGACAGTCTTGTAAAAGGGATCTTAGTTGGCTACTTCAAAAGAAACGGGTTTCTGCTTGCACATAAGTCTCACAACTAGTTCAGTGCATAAAAGGGTTAATCTCAATGAGCAAGTTTGATGACTTTAAAATTCCCTTTATAAGTACATTATCTCAATTATTTTAATAACTACCATGCATGAACTCCTTTGAGTCAGAAGGAAAAATTAGGACCTTGCAGTGCTCTGGACCTTGCATTCATCTTCAAAATCCCTAGGTGTTGCACATTTAAACAGTTAAATTTGAAATGACCAGGTTCAGTTTTGGTGGAATGCATAAAGAAGAGTAAGTCTGGTGTGAAATATTTGTTCAAACTTAGGTGCCAATGAGAGTGAGGAATGTAATGAAAGATGTCATGGTCTCTAATTCCAATGTGAGCAACTGTGAATACCAGGGAATTATCAGGTTTCTATTCTAATTATGGGGCAGAGATGGACAGGATCAAACCAATATACAGTGATATCCTGTATTTATTGAAAGGTTTTAGTCAACCTGATGGACAGAAATCAATTTGGGGGCATAAATAAACATTTCCCAAAGTTCCAAAAGAGCTCCAGATTCCTTATATTCAAACAGGTTCATGTTGAAGAAAGCTAAGGTCACTTGCAAAAAACCAAGTGCAGAAGTTATCAAAATGGTGGTACACACAGTATGAACACTAGTGTTATACACATGGGACAATGTATTCTAATTTTAAGACTCTGTAATTTTACTTCATCTACTGCAAGAAAAGTTGCATAGAAATATGATGGCTGCTCGGTGTACAAAGTTTTAATCTGTACAGTATGCATTATTATTGCTTCCTCACCAAAAATATTAAACTTAGGCAGGAATATTTAACATAACTTCAATGAATAATGAAATTATGTACTCATTGAATCAAGAATGTAGACATCAGCCTTGCAGATGGGTAAATTCAAGACAGTTCTGAAGTAATCTTATGGATGTCATGCACTCCTGAACTCATTGCTATCCGTGAATTTATTTTTTTTTCAGAGTAATATGCTCAAACTTTGGGTCAAAGGCTTAAAACCTTAAAAGATGCAAGCCTATGCAAGTTTAGACAGAAAAAAGCAGAGCTGGCTGGGGCATGTTGGGAATTGCACACTTTCCTCTCACTCAGCTTACATAGGATTATGCCCAGAGTAGCTTTCCCCAAACTCAGTGGAATTCACATCCTGTCTACAAGTATGTAAAAAGTATAAGCATTTTCTTTTTGCTTCCGTTACATCATACATTACCTTCCTCTCTCTCCTTCTCTCCCCACTCTTTCTGTCTTAACCAATTAAAACAATTAAAGTTATGAGTATAAGGATATTTAAGATGAGCTGAAGTTGCACCTTGAATTATCCTTAAGCACTGCTGAAGGAATTGGGATACGGCTGCTTTGTGTAAAGACATGGCACAGAGGCAGTAATTTAAAGGACTTCTGGCATATGAGCTGGTAAATGCTTCTCCTGAGGTTAACACAGATAGGCTGATCTTAAGAGTTAGAGAAGAAGGTTACTTCCTCAATGTAGTTGATGAGTTTTGAACATTAAAGATTGGCCATGAGTGCATTTTTCATCTCAAGGGGTAGATTCTGATCTGCTAGCTTTACATTATCCAGATTTGCTTCTTATTCAACAAGAATGGGACTGATCTTTGGTGGCTTCTTGAAGAGCAAGAAACTCTCAGAGCTGGTTAAATTTGTCAGAATAAGGGACAAACACATATTTCGATCCTGCAGAAGGAAACCTGGAACAGAAAAAAGGCAGGCAAGGGAAATCTTAAGCACCTTCCTTCCCCTAACTCCCAGCTCCCAACACTGCTACTTTACTTGTCTAAATTTTGTAAAAGCCTAAGAAGAGCCATGCTAGATCAGGCCCAGGGTCCATTTAGTCCAGCATTTGGTTCATACAGTAGTCAACCAGCTGCCCATGGGAAACCCACAAATGGGTCATGAACGTAGTAACAGCCTCCCTTGCCCCAAACATAGTACGCTGTTGGGGCAATGTTACAAATGCAACTGTATAAGATGTAGCTGACCTTGTAGGATTAGTATTGTTTACTTACACATTAGTTACAGTTGTACAGATGATTCTCTTTTAAATAATAGTGCAATAATTGAATTTTATACTTAAAAAGGCCTTTTGCATATTCTCAAGAACAAGGAACTTTTGACAGGCACAATGAAAAATACATAACCATGTATACCCTAGCTTTCTTTGATTGTAAATAAATTGATCCAGGACTTAAGATGTTCTCAGGTGATATGAACCAGTAACTTAGCTCACACTTCTTGGCATACATTACAAGAACACTGGAAATCAGTACTTTGTTTCTTATTCCTCGTGCTCTGGAGTGTTTCTCCCAGATAAAAACTACTGTTCTAGAACTTCCATGAAGGAGTAGACAGTTCATAGAGGTTAAGGTCTCCTTGCCTTCCCTACCTCATTCCCTTACCACCAACTGGCTGACAGACTCATGAAACTCCATTCAACTGAACACATGTGGATCTTGGCTCTCTTACATTATAGTCTGTATATGTCCCTGAATTGATCAATAGACTAAGGCAAAATCTAACTGCACAATAAAACAAACAAATATTTGTTTAAAGCATTTTGAAATAAATGCATACGTGTATTAAAACTGCGTAGCTGCATTCTGACTCTGAATACATATTTATTGTGTGCTAAGAGGAACAAGTCAATGTTCAAAGTGAGCAATTTTGGCAAAGTGTCCAAAACACCACTCAAAGGATCCATCCCTCCTTAACATTAACTTTGTTTCTTAGTCTGCAGCTTGTATCAGCATATCTTTAACACACTTTCTGTTAGAAAATAGTTTATCTTCCTAGTAGTGGCCAAACAGGGCAACTTGAGGGTTGAGGGTTAGGGTTAGGTACCATAAGGAGAGCTCCTCCCACAACTGATGCTTGCTTCAGGTCCCCTTTTTAAACTATGAAACAGTTGTTCACATTTATATTTTTTGTTTGGACACTCCAGCATGGAGTGGCTTTCATGTGACATCTTGGATTTGTTCATCAATTGTGTAGGGCACTGTGTGTGAAAGATGGCAGGTACTACAAAACATGGAGTTGGCATGTGTTATTCATCTCCCTCCCACAAAAATTTGGGGTACAAGCCCTTTTTGCCCTCACAATGATCCAGAATGACTTAACTCCTGGAATAGTAAGGGTAAATCAAAAGTCAGTCAGCACCCGTTAGTAAGGAAACAAGTTAATTAAAGCAAATGGAGTCCAAGCAGGTGTCAGGGCCTCCCAGGCTGTTTGGGTTCCAGAAACTACTGCTATAAGCCTTGTGCTGGTGCTGTAGCCAAATCCAGTTGTTCTTGTGATGGCTATACTGCTACCAGTAAGAAAAATCGCATGTTTCAGACCACAAATTGTAGCATAGCAACAGCTGTGCATGGTTTCCAATAGCTCCCTCTAGAGCAGCATCACCTGTATGTCAGTGATAAACAATTTTTTCTGCTGTGTGAACACTTTAGTTCTCTACACCAGAAATGGTGAAAGAAGCAGGCACACACAGTACAGACTATGTACGTGAAACGCGTGCCGCCCACCCTCACGTCATGCTTCCTGAATAGCCCAACTCCCTAATTCAGAGTTCAGAAACATTCGCCATTAGTAATTCAGTTCTGACGCACAACCTAGGTGAGATCTATAATTAAATTTCCTTCAGAACTAGATTTTAATTCCAGTGTAATTGCCATTTAAGCAGGAGAAGTTTTTGTAGAACCCATAAATGCTGTTTTCACTATTTGTTATGATTTTCTATCTCTACCTTTGCTGATTCTGAGTTGGTGGCACTCAGGCATGTATAGAGATTCTCTAATGGAACATAAAATGAAAGAGTAAAAACACTTTTGCTTACTTTGGCAGTCACCCAGGCCATCGGTATTGCCATGCTCTACATCCTGCTCATATGCCAGTCTAAACAACAGAAAGAAACAGAGTAGTGTGAATTACTGCACTCACAGGCTCTACCACATTTGGGTTATAGACACTTTAAGCAAAAGGAAGAAACACAGAAAAACCCGTTATTCTTTGAATACTTGCATAATGCAAACACAAAAGAATTCCTGTTGCTTTACTTGACATATGAATCCAAAAAATATAGGGCAGGAAACATTGTTGAGCACAGTGACTACAAAATCTGGAGCAGGCCTGTATGTCCATCAAAGGATCTTCCAGGATACAGTCTAGTTCTCAGCAGCTACAGCTCTAGCTTCTGTATAACAATAGCAAGGAAAATGTAATAGGGAAACTAGAATTGTATGTGAGGGCTCCCCCCCGACCCTCAGTGGATTTCTTAACATAGAATATGGCTGGGTGTGTGTTTCTTTTTCAAGATTTTCAGTTTCAGTAATCAGTATTAATATCACTTAATTTGCACAGGTTTTTAGAGAATTATATTGCCACAACATAATGGAATTCTATCCTTTGGTGATGACAAGGCCTAGCACATTTAATGCTAGTGCCCTGTGGTTATTCTTATCAGTGCCTCATAAATAAAAAGGCAGTTTTGTTTGCAATGAATAGTGCCTTTCATAATCAGTCAAGAGGATACTGGAATAAACTGCTTCAGTGTTCTTGTCCAGCCCCAGTGTACACACATTGTGCAAGCGGAGGCCTGGTCATGCATCAAGACTTTCCCTCGACTTCCTCCCCCACGGCCGTTCCCTGCATGCCTCCTAAACTTGCTCCAGACCATCCCCTAACACTCTGGAACAGATTTGGGGGTATGGTGGCAGGACAGGCAAGCCATTTGACAGTGGTTTCCACTCTGCTGGCAGATGGTCAGGGATAGATACACACCTTTTTAAGTTTTCATTTAATTTTTTTTAAATTTTGTTTTTCTTTCTTATTTGTTCATATGCAGCATAGCGTAATAGATGATGCCTTGCATGATAACTGAAGATGTCTGTTTTATATTTGAATTCCCAATCAGCCATGATGCTGTTGAATTAACTTGGGTAAGTCATTCATCTCAGACCTTAACTATTCTTTAAGATATGAGATGATCAAAACCATCTGGGGACATTTTAGAAAAAACTAAGCATACCTATATTTTTTCAGAAAAATAACTGCCAAACATATGATTTCTCTACTAGAAACATCTTAGTTGGTTTAAGAGATTCTAATGGAGAACTAACATGTATTATCTCTCTTTATCAAGAAGCTCATTATAGTCTGTTGAAAGTTCTAAATTCAGTCCAAAAGTGCTTAAACAATATTTTAATCAAACGCTCCCACAATGCTAATGATGACTTACGTTGCTCCAGGTAATAGCTGCATACAAGCCCCGCTTTCCTTCATCCATCCACAATATGGGTCCCTAGAAGCTATGCAGGCCCTTAATAGAGGAGACATGTAGAGATCATGCTAGAATTCTGGGCTATCAACACCTCAAGGTTAATATCAGTCTGTCAATACTTGGTGTATTTGAGAAGAATTTAACAGTGAGGGAAAAGGGGTGCCAAGAAATACCTACTTTTTGCACTTGCCATGGCGTTCACACCTTCCTAGTGGGACTCTTATTAAACAGTTTGAAAATGCTACATAAAGGGCACTGCTTCTCTTGTCCAGTTGCATCCCCATAATCCTTTTGTCTTCTACCCCATCATAGCTGCACCTGATTTGAAGGAGGAAGTGAGACAACACTTCTATCATTCTTAGTCAATTTCACTGTAACAGAAACATTTCTAAGCCAGATTAAAGTCAGAAGAGTAGAAATTTTTACTTTAATGAATATGTAACTTTGCTATTGCTTTAGATTACATAATAATAGTCCAGCTGTATATACATTTACTCAGCAGGAAGCCCCACTGAGTTTTATTTTTTTTAGTTGCAGTCTAGGCAGTTCACAACAATTAAAACCACAAAAACAGAAGAATTAAACACAATATAATTTTTAAAAGTTAAAATTGCAGTATAAAAATCAAAGTGAAAAACCAACAGCAATATAAAGATTTAAACATGCAGTAACAGATTTTAAAAGAACAAAGACTAAAATGCTTGGGAAGAGTCTCTTCTTAGGCCACAGAATTGTCCTCATTAAAAGGGAACAGGTTTGCAGGTCGTATGCATGGTTAGATACAATAAAGTCATACAACCCCCAGGATTCCCCAACAGCCATGTTGGTTGGGGAATGCTGGGAGTTGTATGACTTCTTACTGCCTAAATATGCATGGGGTTGTGTCTCAAATAAGATTTTTAGGTAAGCAAATCTTCTGGGAGGCACAGTGATGAAGCACTGAGCCATCGAGACACTTTGGGATGTGTGTTCTGGGAAGAATCCATCCCCATTCCTCTTCTTCAAATCCTTCCATGCAAGTCCCCAGCGCTGCCATGTATCGATTTGGGACATGGGTGCATCTCTGTACTGTCCACTGTGCACACTCAGTGTCACACTGGTGGGTGAACCAAGGAGCCGTTCCTCAACCCCATCCGTCATCCAAGTCAACAGGACTGCTGTTTTCAATCAGACTGGTTTTGATTTTCAGTCTTTCCTGTGTGGCAATAGCTGTGATGACTCACTGAACATGGCTGAGCAATGAATGGGAGACAAACTGGTGTCTAGGTCTGGCTAAAGTCCCTCTCCATCACCCTCATTCTTGGAGGACTTTCACATCTATAAGGAATATTTATAATACTATCACTGAAAACTTAGTTGATGCCATGGCTTTAAATGCCCTCATAAAATGCATTTCTTGTCTATTTTGGTTTCAGCTATTGGACAGTATAAAAATGAAATTAGCAATTAAATAAATATTCCCAGATTTTAACTTAAATTAGGGTTGAAGGGGTGTGGATGAGGTAGTAAGAGGTTGTTGAGACTTACAGTAATATACAGTTGAAGCTGAAGATAGAATTCGGTCAATGAAAAGCAAAATAATTTGTTCTGGGATGGGAAGGGAGAATTTTGAATCAGTTCCAGATTCAATTTGTGTGTATGTGTGATTAATTGTTGGGATAGGTTGATCTGAACTCATTTTTTCATGATGAAATAGAAATCCATAAAAACAAGAAAACAGAAACATAAATTTATTAACAGCTGCTTCTTGTCATTCTTCTCATGAGGGAAGCACAGAACGTGAGATTGGCAAACTAACATTGTTCTTTGTTAAAAGAAATGCAGAGAAAGAATCAGATACACACTTTTCAGAATTGTAAATGCTCATTTCCTCCAGGAAAAGGCTGTCATTTAGAAAACCACTGTTTCCTGTCCTGACCAAAAACTTCAGAATGATTCCCTTCTCTGATCCAAGGAAGACCACAGTGTGATTCTGATTTGGTCCAGCGGCATTATCTACTGCAATTTTGGTCAGGCGGTATCTAGAATGACAACATGACTATTTTAATCATCACATTATGTCTGTTGTTAGCTTTATCATCCCCCCCTCACTTTATAGATAAGTATTGAGTAATTTTAAGGCAGGTAAATCTATTCCTGCATAAATACAATTTTCTACTTAAATGGATGGAATAAATCCAAATTATTTGCACATGGTACAAATCAGGCCTAAACTGGGTCAAAATGAAACCACCTCAAAACTGATTTCTATGTTATAGTCATTCAGTAATACTGGAGGCACGCACATGAAGAGAGCCAAACTTGCTTGCTGAGAGGCTGCAGGTTTTCACTGTTTTTTCCCACTTTAGCAAAATTTTTCTTCATGGATTTAAAGAACTGAATTCGAGATCGTATTTTTCTATACAAGGGGCACAAAGCTGTGAAGAAAGTTGCGTGTTTGCTAATGTGTTCAAAAGAGGGCCAAATTCCATTTCAGAGGAGATTTTGGGGCCTGCATTCCAGTGTTGGGCGGAGCTGAAGGCAACGGGCAAGACTAAAAATTTTAGCTTAAAGGTACAGGGGTACCTTGGCTCATGAACTTAACCTGTTCCACAACTCTGGTCGTGACCCAAATTGGTCGTCAGCCAAGTCAAATTTCTCCATAAGGTTCAATGTAAATAAGGTTAATCCATTCTGTAACTATTTTTTTAATCACAAAAAGTTGAAGCAAAGTGACAAAGAACAACAAAGATCACGGCCATCTCCCCTGCCCCCACAAGCAAGACCGCGATCGTGCCTGTGTTCCCTGCACGAGTGCGAGCACGGCCATAGACGGGCGCAATCGCGGTTGCACTCGGGCAGGGAACACGGGAGCGACTGTCACCTGATGTGGCGTTCACGACCTAAGGCAATTTTTTTCTAAAATTTCTTTTTGTGATCTGATTTGGTCATGAACTGAGGCATTTGTGAGCCGAGGTACAGTATTAGGAAACTGCTAAACCCTGGAAACTGTCAAATGGTTGGTGGTTGGGGAAACAGAGGCCATTGCCATCTGGGGAATATCATAAAGGTGCACTGGGACTCCAGACAGGCTGGATTTAGTTTACAGGGCTTTGGTTCAACAACCCTGGTGCAACTGAATGTCAACATTTTTTAAAAATATAACTTTGTAAGTGTATTCAGGCACTGATAAGGAAATCAATTTCCTGACACAAACAAATATATTTAATATATAAACACTCTCATACATGAGCATGGACAAATGTATAAATAAAAGCTCAAAGACCATTTAATGTACTTTAATGTACTGGAATAATACAGATTCTGAAGGCAGATGACTTATGTACCTTCATGGACAGAAGCCATTTTTATTATTATATCTTCTTGTGCTGATAGAGAATTATTTGGATATGGACAGTAATATTTAAAAACTTGTGTAAACTTTGGAGCAGTTCTTTACATAATGTGACAGATATCAACATATCCTGAGCACATCCTAGCAGACATATCCGGCTGATGTGCCCTTCAGCCACTTATTAATTCTGAGGAGTTAAAACGCTGACCAAAAGGTAAACTCATAAGATGCAATTTCTTCTGAGATGTGGGCTGAAGGCAACCTAGCTAGAATTAGTCACATTGTTCCATCCACAAATTTTCATGGTTTCGTGACAACCTCCTCATCCCTGTACTACCTCTTAAGAACACAAGAGTAGCCTTAATCAACTACACCAAAGGGCCATTTAAGTTAGCATTTTCTGTGTTCAGCCCCATTTAGAGAGATTCCACTGGAACACTTCCAAGTCTGCCTGGGATTTCAGCATTTTGAATAATTGGATCTTATCTACAAGCATTGCTATTTCCGAGATCACCCTGATTCTAGATTATTTTATATGAACATTTTAAATAGCAAACAGTTTTATTGAAGCTGTACTAGAAACCATTGTGAAAACTATCCACTTATCCCCTCTTTTGTTTTGTAATTCTTTAAGCGGTTTTCAGTCTAGCTCATGGCTAGATACATGGGTACTGTGATTGTCATGCCTACAGAACTGTGAAATAATTAAATTGCAGAGCACTGGCAATTGTGGAGAGAGACAAGAAATAAAAGAAATTTGGGAAAGACTATTTACCTGACCATTGTCCGCAGGAACCATGGCTTGTTGACAATTGATGGTACTGCTTCATCCATGAGAGAATGTGTTTTGATAAAGTTTAGAGTATCATCTGGAAATTCATTGGAAGATGTATATTTTTCAAGTGATGCAGAACCAGCGCAGGAACCTGGCCTAAATTAAAAATAGGGTAGGAGGAAATATGCAAATATTCCACATAAACTGTTTCCTTAAGCATGTGTTATTAGGTGGCAGTGTGTAAGAAGCTTTGCAAAAGAAACCAGAGCATGCATGGTTCCTCCTAGCTTTCCTTTGGGTCTCATCATTCCACAGTGCGAATTTAGCATTCGGTGCTCAGTTATACTTTATCATGGGAATGTCTGATTTATGACTATTACTTCACATAAATTTTTAAGAAGATTATGAAGTATGTAAAACGCAAGTTCACAGTTCATCCATCTACACAGAACCCAATATACACAAACATACTTTGGAAAGCTCTCCTCATTCCTTGGGCATGTTCCATATGTGCTTTTTAAGGTTCTCATTCATGGAGATATAAGCCCTTTATTGAATTTACAAGGGAAATGTTATTTTTTTCTAACGTATAAAATAAAGCTTCTTTTAAAAAGTTTGGATGGCAAATCCAGCCAGCATCAGAGTAAACAACCTCTTTGCTATGGATACCCATAACACTTAATTTTTGATAAGTATGAAAAGTGACCCTTTTAACCATGAATGTGCAGGATACTTTTAAGACACAGTGTTATCTGTCTTGGATAACTGGAATACAAATGTGTTCAGTTTATTCCTGGAATTCTCCAATATGTTTATGGAATCTGGGCCAAAAGAGTCATCTACTGGAAGCAGAAGAATCTATTTCCTCCTTTGGCTAACTGTGCCCTACCCTATGGGTCCCCTTCTCTACAATTCCTTCTTGTCTACAGAAACTTGTCTGAACTTTGAACTTCAGAAAGACACACTGCAAGTTCAAACAGTGCATGCATCCACATGTGCAGACTAAGATCTGGTTTAATTATAAAACTGCAGATCTGGTTTAACTATGTATTTGGTGTAACTACAAAAAGGCTATCAGGATTTGTGCCAATGTATAATTGCAATTGTGCAAAAGTAGCATTGTTTGCACACTTTTTTTAAAGGTTGTAATTATGGACAGAGGAAGTGCATGAGACATGTATGAAGATTAATATCAGACAGTGAAGAATAAATCAAGAATGAAAGGAAACACATATGTCACAAGAAGCAAAAAGGGAGGTAAGCATTGAAAAACATATCGTCTGAACTCAGGGATAGTAAAACATGTTTCTTTTAACCAAACATTTACCATTATTTTTACATCTTGTTTTTGTGCCTTGCCATATAACTGAAAATGTATGATTTATCACATGGTAAATCCTTACAGCAAGCATCCTCCTTCAATATAAAGAAGATTTTGATGTCGTATCCAGAGAGAATAACACTTCCAGTTTCTGGTTCTGTTTTCCATAAAAGAGCAGGATCTTTTTCTTGCTTTCTGGACCAAAGATGTTCAAGTAACAGCCATTTCTATTTTTTTCCGCCACTGCCCAACACTTCGAAGCAATGAAGGAAAGGGTAGTGCAGAGCAAGTACAAGCCCTTTTGAGGAAGAGGTACTGAGGGAAGTGGGAAGAGAACCCCTTCCCTCCTCCTGGGTTCTGATTAGGACTCTTGATGGAATGTGGACTCTTCATCCTTGTCCTCATCTTTCCAAAGCTGGTCAAAAAGGCAATTTCAACTTTCTAAGTGGGATTCCACCCAACCTACCCCATCTTTTCCATGCAGGAAATAAGTATGCTGGAGCCAGGGGGTCTGAGCAGCTGGGCAGATACGGCTTCCCCGTGTTAGTGGCTGGAAGCCTGGAAGATGGCCCCTGGAGATGCAACCATTGATGCTGCTTGCAGGAAGCTCTTTGTGGGATTGGACTACTGTCCATTTCCTGGGCCTCAAACTGAGTGCAAATAGTGCAGCAACCTCGCAAATAGCATTGGCTTTCTAGGGAGGATTTCCTGCTCTGTCCATTTCCTGCCATATTGCAGGGAACTCAGGATTCATAGGTGGGTTTCCCTGTCTCCAAAAGGGCATACATCTGTGCCTGTTCTGACCTTCTTTCTTTTTGGTTCTCCAACTGCTAGGGAGCAGCACAGAATGCTGATGCCAGTACAAACACTGCTTGTGGTTACAGAAGCAGCAATTTAGGCACAGCTAGAAACCAGAAGGCTCCTTTCTCTGTTTGCAGGCCCTGCTTCTGTCAGTGCGGGTATCAGCCTATTGGTGCTGGCTCCTGTCCCCTAAACAAGTTGAACTGAGACTGAGTCACAAACCACATTGGAGCATGCATTCATCATTATCCTTTTTTCTTTGCCCAATATCAAACTATCCACTTAACCAGACTTTTCCCCAAGGAAGCAGTCTAACTTTCTTTTATTCTCTAGCAAACAATGACTTCTACTAGTTGTTCACCTAGCATGATGTCCCCTCTTGTCTGACCAAACTAGCTGTAGAGGTTGGAGGGTATAAACCCATTTAATTTTGCTCGAGTTACACTCTCATCTCTTTGGTTTGCCTTTTTTAACATTTATGTCACACACTAAATCTCCCATTGCTATGAAAAAACATTAAATTCCCAATCCTGGCATGGCAGCAAACATAGCAGAGAAAAGTACCTGGGCTTGGGTACTCGTTCATCAGGAACTGGTGTCCATATTGAATCTGGAGACTTCTGTTCTTTGAATCTCCCAGTAAATACATTGGCAATGTCAAGAATATCATAAGCACAGACAGCAGAGCCAGGGATGCTGCAATGTGACATTTCCAGAAATAGTTACTCATTCTGAAGTTATGCTTAAATTGTGTGTGTGTCTGTGTGTGTGTGTGAGAGAGAGAACATGCTGCATAGAAGCCTTCCTGTCATAGGACATTCTGAGGCTGAACCTTCCAACCTTTGGATACTGACAGTAAAAGGCTGCCCTCATGCAGACATTTGAAATGCTCCAGTGAGCAGCTAGATTCTGTCAGTACAGTTTTTCTCCTAAAAATTAAAAATTATATATTACAGTAATTTTGAACATGCGAAAAATTCTCAGATATACTCCTTACAACTTGTCGTATCAACAAATTATGGATTATTCAAAGTACAGGTTATTTTCTGGATGGAAGCTCATTCTATAAATTTAACACATTCTTGACACGACATTTTGTGAGCCCTGCTGGGTCTCCAGTTGCATCCCAGAAATGAGTCAGATGTTGGAGCAGATACATTTTGCATACACATCACTTAACCTGAAAGTTCAGCAAAATACTACTATCCATCCGTTGAAGTTCTAAGCATCATTCAGTTTTCTATACATTTCTGGCTGAGTTCCTGTGAGCAGGCATTTGCTTAACTCAGTCATGTAGAAAGAGGTTGCAAAAGCAAACATAACTTTGCCTTACTGCCACTAAAATTTAAATTCAGACTTTTGGATTATTTGCATGTAACCTAATAGCAGCAATCACTAAATATAATTATAGTCTTACACAAACACTTTGGAAGGGGCTTAAATGTTTCTTTTAGTCAATGACTTTCAGGTTATGAATTATTCATTAATCTGCCTTTGTTGTTTACCCGTGCTCTGCTGTAGTATGTTTCTGTCTGACTTAAGCTACACAATTCTGGTCAGATAGTAAGCAGCATCTGGGTGAGAGGTATAATCCTGATTTAAGGTAGTAAGTTATTATCAGATGTACAACCATTGGAATTTGGTTTTTAGATAATACTGAAAAGGTGATATAAGAAGACACTATGATACTGAATAATTATGCTGAGGATAATACTAAAAAGATAATACAACAAGACATTATTAGAGAAAAAATTAAGAAGACTATTAAGTAGATTGTTTAGGGTGCAATTCTATGCATGTTTAGAAAGAGAAAAATCCTAAATCTAGCAGTTCGAGGATTTTTTTCTGACATGCATAGAATCAAGCCTTTAATTAACCCCAAAATGACAGCAAAAATAGTGAAGTTGTACACATAAAGGTGGCTTTTGACATTCCAATATTTTGTTACTCTGCATGCATTCAAAGTAATCCATAAATGAGATTTATTTGTCATAACAAAAAAGATGAGCTCTGTATGAATCTCTGCTCTATCATCTCTGCTCTGAACTGGAATGCCTTAAGACTTATCCAGTATAATAATGCATTTCAGCCATATACTATTATTTGGTGTCCCAGTTCCAGAGAGACTGGCACAAAACTTATTTGCAGTGGAAGAGTCTCAGGATGTGTGGCTTTGTGCCACTTCATGGATAATGGTCCCTGCTCTCCTCCTCATGTGTAGAATGTGAACTTCTCAACAGGGTTTCATTCTTAAAACAATGATAAAGTAGCAGCTCACAAACGTAAGTTAAAACTGTAAATTAGGAATAGTAAAAAGTTATTTGACTGGGGATAAAAAAGCAGTAGTTTAGAGTGTCCCTTGACTAAATGTTACAACCAAGAAGGCCCTGTCCCTGGTCACTAGCCACCTTCTGGCAGATGACAGCAGTACTTGAAGGAGAGTTCCTATAAATGCACAGGTAGTGGCAGGTACTCATTTCCTCAGATCTCTTGCGTGCCAAAGTTCTGCTAGATAGCATTACCCTGGTGTCCTGCAGATGTTTTGGGCTATGACTCCTATCAGTCCGAATCAGAACAGCTATTGGTCAGGGTAGACAGGAGTTGCACTTCAAAAATCTGTTGGGCATCAGGTTGGGGACAGCAATATAAGGCTTAAACTAGTTTTCAGTAACAATTAATAGCTAGATTGTGTCTATACTTGTCTGCACTGATGTTCTCCTCTCATCTTTGCGGAATCCCATGGAGGGTACCTGTGTTTGCGGCTCAAAGGATAAGGACAGATGTTTAATTTTATCTGCATAGCTCTGGCCTGGATTCCATTTTGGGGGCATGGCAGAATGTGACAAAGTGAAGGAACCCACAAGCTGAATTTTACTTGTACATTTGCTAGTCAGGAGTTTGCTTAAACAACTGCTTAGTCTGTGGCATCTAGAGAAGGAAAAACAATCTGAAATGGTGAGGCGGTTGGAGGCAAAATGTACACAGTTGATCAGTTGCCGTGAAATAGTATTACTAATGAAAGCTAAACCTGGAAGTATATAAAATCAGTAAGCCACTAAGCAAATGTTCAAAAACATTAGATTCAATCCTGAATCCTTTTAGTGCTTCCCTTTCTCCCTCTTTCCCCTTCTGGCTAAATGAATCTTAGTTTTCAATGGGATGATTTTCTTGTAAATAAAAAGTTCCTCCTTCTTGTGTTGGTTGTATTTTTTGGTTCATGGTTTAATCATTCCCAAAGCAGTTGCTCTAATTTGGGCTTCCAATGGCAGCTATTAAGCCATGTCACCGACACTTTCTTCCCATTTCAAAGCAGTGGGAGGTCTGCCTTTGACCTTTGAGGTTACCCTTTGACTTCAGGTAGCCATTTCATGGCATGAGTACAGGAACAGAAGCACTCCCTCTTTTCCCAAATGTCCCTTCTAATCAAAAGCATGGGAAAGGAAACAGGTCCTTATGGTCACAGCAGCAATTGTACTTTAATTAGCATATTTGCTAAAGTTTCCCAGAGACCTTAGAAACAGGAAACCTTAGCACGTTTCCATAAATTACTAAGAAGCATGTAGCAATATACCAGCACTTACAAATTCTTAACAGATGAGGTGATACTGTGAACATTTTTTATTAGCTGACCTAAAAGCAATGGGTGTCAGAATAATGGTCCCTGTTACTTTTTATTCATTGCTTTTATTACAGGAGTAAGCGAAGGATACTGACATACTCAGGCCATCTGTTATGCTGGATGCTGTACAAAGAAAGAGGAAGACGTATCCATTCACAGAAAGGAAACTTGATTCTGTGATGAGGGAGAAGTGCTGCTACTTAGCATGTAGGATGTGATGCATGGGAAGTACAGTTGCTAGGAATGTATCCTGCTGAAATGCATTGGCCTTGTTCTGGAGTGCACTCTTGTTCCACCCTGAGCAGCAGGGTGGTGACTTATGGCTATCGCCTTTGTGGGGTTCACATATTTTTTTAAAAAAATGGTGAGAGCAGACCAATCAGTGAGTGATGCAAGCTCAGTCCACTCATACAATGCTCAGTCCCCTCATACAACTGAGAGAGCCAGTCTGGTCTAGCAATTAAGAGCATGGTACTGGGACTCAGGAAATTTCAGCTCTCTTCTTCACTCAGTCATTGAGCTAACTGGGTGACATTGGGTCAGTCACAGACTCTCAACCCAACCTTCATCACAGGGATGTTGTGAAGATAAGATTGAGAGGAGGAGAATTATGTAAGCTGTCTTGGGTTCCATGGAATGAGTAAAAGTTGGGATATAGATAAAATAAATAAAACTGGCACACCTCCCTTGGTGTGAGATGTGTGAACCACAAGGGCAAATGCAGTTGGACACAAAATACTGGAGCAGAGATTCACAAGGTCCCCCTTCACACTCTTGGAAGCACAAAAAGGGGATCTGTGAGTGCATACACTCCCAATCTTGCTAATTCTAAGCCACCATGTGTGAGAACTTAAAAGCAAAATAGTTTCTATTAAGTTGCACCACTAAGATAGCACTAAGATCATTTAGCACTATGCTGTCAGTGCCACTCCACAGTCAGTCAGCTGCAGAATTGTTAACTGTGGGTCCACATTTGGGTCAATATTAAACTCTGCTGCTTTGCCTATGAAAGTCCAACAATGCCTGTTCTATTTATTGCAATGTTTTCAAACACGGAGCAAAACAAATGCGGACCAACAAAATCTGTATTAAATTTGTTACCTGTTATAAGGGGTGGAGAAGGTTGCTAAGACAATATCTCGACCATTGATATGGATAACATCTGTAACTGCCTGCAGTATGTTAAAATAGAAATGCGAATCCCCAGGAACTGAACAGTTCAGTCGTGCCTTCAGGAAGGAAGTCCATTGTTTTTCCAGCACACGCTGAGATCCACCCATGTCATTCTTGCAAACCCGAGCTACTCTGGGGAAAACTACCTACAGTGAGGGAAAGAGGGAAGGAGGAATACAGAAATTGAAAAGAGTTCTGATTTTCTCTTCTCCTAAAAGATAGATATGACATTGTTGGGTACTTAATTTCATTCCATGTTTCCTATAATCTGTGACAAATAAACAGAAGAAAATTCAGCTGTGGAACTGTGTGCTGTGAAAGATAAGCCTGTGACATTTCATACACAGTCATAAATCCTTCAGGATATCTGTGCTCAGCCCATATGAAACTCATTTCTATGCAGACCACTCAGCTTTCCATTTCTACAAACAAAAGCACATTCTATATTTGAAATCCATGTGGCCTACACTGCCAGCCTCTGAGTCCTGTATCCTCAGCATTTTTTAAAGTATGCAAGCGTCATCAGGCTTTTATTTATGCCTTTCTTCTTTTTAACCTTGTAAGCTTTTTAATACATCCTTTCAATAAAGCTTTCATTGTTCTTTATGACATGGCAAGTCTGAAATTTCTTCCCATTTACTTCTGTTGTTCTCATGAAGGTCTTCCAAATACAGCTGCTTCTTTGCTTTAAAGTCAGACTTGTAATGATTATTTGGAGCTCTGAATTAATTCAATTTGCCATATGTTTTCCAGATTAATGGAGATATTTTTTTAAATGCATCTTGTCGCCATCACAAGCCAGAATGTTTTATATCAAGGCAATGCAATGCTGCATTCCAACCAACCTTTGGCATTAACAGCAGAATCCTCTCAAAACAATGACCTTGTCATTGTGATTAATGGCTCTCATTTCAAGGTCATCCCTGCCTTGTACTGGTCTACAAGGAGTTTTTGCCCCTTACCTTTCCCATGCTGTGGTATTCCACTGCTATTTCACGAAAGAAAAAATAGATATAGTCGCCGTAATCCACTGCATGGACAAAATAAGGCTCTGTAAGAAACACAAAATTAACTTACAGGTATGAAAATCTGAGCAAACACATTGAGATGAAAATTTAAATTCTGTTTATGTAGATGTTTAACTTCTGTGTAGACGATGTATGTAAATAGTTGGAAAACAATGGTTTGGAAAACATCCTAGATGCTATTACTATCGACTGCCATCACCATAGATCTGTGAAGCAACAACTGGTCTTTCCCACAAAGGGAGGATTGCTCGAACCCTATAGCTAAAGGAGATGACAGATAAAGCCTGAACTGAACATATACACATTATACCCGAACTGGGCATATATATACACATTTATCAGAATTAGGCCCCACTTCTGGTTGGTGAAAAAAAATCAAAATGCATTAGATAAAACATTTCATAGGGTTCACTTTAGACTAAAACGTGCTGTTATAGTCAAAACTCAAATATCAGTTTTCAAAATTTCTCTGGTAAATAAGCACTTTAGATGTAACTCAGTTTTTGCCCAGTTCAGGAAAAGGCCCTAAATGAGTAATCTAGCCTGGGTCTAATGGTTTCTGCAATTACAGAAAGACATGCAATGCAATTTGCGGCTGGTGTTACAATTGTGATAGCCCCAATCTTTCTCTTTTTTTTCTTGTTGCTAGCTGGTTTAGAAGATGAACCTGTGGTTTCTGAGGGAAACAGACAGACTAAAAAAATATAACATAATACAAAAATGACCAAAACAATAGTGAAAATGTTTGTGGGATATTTAAGTGAAGTAGAAAGAGAACTGGTAATTAGGAAACAAAACTCACAAGTTAATAGATACTGTCTTCACACACACACACACACCCCCATCATCACCTTGATATCTGAGGAATTCAGTATCCTCATACTTCCCAGGGCTCCTTTACTCTATCCTTTGTTCCAGTTGGCCTACCCCCAAAATTACAGTCTTCTGCTCTACTTTGTTCTCTTTCCTTGAGGGAAAGAATCCCGAAAGTAGGATAAATTAGGCAGTGTCATATATTAGAGATAAAAGTATTTGATTTGCATTATTCATTCTGAATGCAAAATCTGGATTCTTTTTATTTGCAGAAACAAATTTTTTCCCAAAGGAATTAATACATTGCCCATAGCCATCAGCAGAAATAGTAATTGCTTGCTTGACTATAAAAATACAACACTTTTAACAGAAAAAAAATTGGCACTAAGATCATCATCTCGAAACTGTGCGTTCTACCCCCCTCCCCCCCTCTCTCTTGCATTTTTGTCTACAAGCAAAAGCTCTCTTTTCACAATCACAGAATGCTATGTGGCACCCATTCATAATGCCTCTGGAAAAGAATGAATGGCAACATTCTTAACAATGAGGTTATTTAGAACATACAAATTGCCTAATTCTGCTGCACCCATTCAGTACTTCATGACAATAAAATGGAGGTTCTGTTATTTTATTTTTATTGATGGATCCTAACACTGCAGAACAAATTTTCTACACCTCATAAAGCATTGATAGTTACCGAGCCAAATCACAGGGAAGAGCTGATGGTCCCATCACTACTTCAAAATATTCCTTATCTGCTTCTCAGTCTATCCAGGCTTTAAAAAATAAAATAAAATTGGATGCACCTATTCTGGTGGCTCTTAAGGTTTTGTATCATTGTCTAGCAACTTGGGAGAGAAACAAAGCAAACCTGTGAAATAAATGTTCCAGTAAAAAAGGCAATTTAGTGCCCTCTAAACGAAATGAAGTTCAGCTGCCATATGCTTGAAACACCTTTTCTTTGCAGCAATCACTAAAAGACCGGACTGTAAAATAGCACAGTAAAGATAAGTAAAAAAGCACAGCAAGGTCTGTCAGGAATCCAAGAGTATAATCAAAAGTGTTGCCCTTGCTCACCCCCTGCTTTTGTTTACTTACCTTTCAACCATTTTGAATCATGTTTGACTGTCCGCAGAGTTGGGCTGTCTCCAAGGCTCCGATAAATGACTGCATCTATTGCAAGAAAGTCTGTCACAGTGGCAGAATACAGCTTTCCCTCTTTGGGATGGGGTGGGAAGAAAGAGAAATAAAGGTAAAGTTATATTTCTTCATTTTCGTATGATGTGAACACACAAAATAAGTTAATCCTAAATAGCCCATGGTGGGTTTATTAGAAAAACCGTGCTTAGTAACTGCTCCATTTTGAACATGTTCATCACTATTCTCTTGCTCAACACACCAGACCTACCTACAGCTACAACAATGCACAGAAATGTACTGTGATATGCACAGCCCAGTTAGAGTAAGGGATAAATTCATCCCTGTGTATATTCACCTGAAAAATAATTACTAGGCTTAGTTTTCATATTCAGGGAAGGTGAGGATGGGTATCCTCATTGATCTTTTGGGAATCTTGAGGGATGGAAGAATCTTATACCTATGTTTATTTTCATACAAGTGGTAGGTGGTCAGGTCATTTGTTAAGGAAGCTTCAGTTGTCCCAATAAAATGATAGACATTTAGAAAAATTTTCCCACCAGTACACTTGAGTTCAGAGATTTCAAAGGAATAGAGCTTCATTTACCCTCTGCAACAACTCTAATCAGAAGCAAATTACTACAACTGGAGCAAATAAGAAATGGCTGCTCAGAACTGTAGAAGAGGATTGGTTGGTATATGACAGCATCAACAAACTTGCTTTCTTTTACTCTAATTGCTCTAAGAGAACAATTTCAGGCAGCAATAATCCTCTCTTGTCATGGCTTTGTGTTTTAAAAAAGTGACCTGTTTGCATCTCACTCTAAAACATGCAGTTAAGTAATTATCCTCCAAGGTTAGCAGCAAATAACTATTTTGAAAATCTAAGCTGCAACCATGGCATGCTGTGCCATGGAAACCCAACAAGGATGGGTTGTTGGAGTGGTTTGTTAACCAAGAACTCATGCACTGCTTTAGGGTTATGGTTGGATTGTTCACCACATCAAGAATCCTAACCCTAATAAATATCAATGTCAACAACAATCCTCTTACACTGGGTTCATATGTCACAAAAACCTGCGAACGCGGGATATGTTATGGAGAAGGCACTTGCAAAATATAGTGTCTTATACAAAGAAATTAAGTAAGCCATCATGGGTCCATTTGTTTGTATGAACTGGGCTACTGCTACTTTTAGACATTAATTTGCATCAGTGCAGGGTCAGGCCCCATTCACTGGTCAGCACTAAGAGTTCGAGTCCAAAACATTTGGAACTCTGTCTGCTCACTGCAGGGGTAGGGTGCTGGGGATGGCAGTGTACAGGTGTAAATTATCAGCTTCATACTTGGCATGAATGATATACATGTATGAGCTCCTATTTATGCATTTATTTGGTTGGTTATGTTTACAGCCCTTGAGGAGCCCCAGGTAGCATATGCTCTTCCTCCAAGATCACCCAGTGAGCTTCATGGCCAAGTAGAACTTGAACCCAGGTTTCTCACACTCTAGCCACAGTAAACAATTTTACTTCCTGGCAAGTCTTAGCAAATCCTATGATTATATGTCTTCTGCACAAATCTGATAGACTCATCACATATACATGCATGCACACAAGAAAGAATTTCTCCTAAGCTGAGGCAGGTGAACAGATTCCTACGACTGCTACTTGATTTTATTTATTTCATTTTTATACTGCCCAATAGTCAAAGCTGAATGTCAACTGCATATTGATGGTACCTCAGCTCATACCTTCAGATAACCTTTCCCAGCAGTTTCATGTAGATGTTAAATAGCATAGGCAATAAAATGGAACCCTGCAGTGCCCTGTGGCAGCCTTCCCCAGTCTGGTGGCCTTTAGAGGCATTTGGACTGCAGCTCCCAGAATTCCCATCCAACAGGGCCATTGACTGGGAAGTCTGGGTGTTGCAGTCCAAACATGGCTGGAAGGCATAATGTTGGGGAAGGCTGCCCTATGGCATAACTGCCATGGTGCAGCACCACCTTCTGGATTGGCCAGTCAAGTAGGTGTAGAACCACTGCAATGCAGATACCATGCTTGATGGTATCAAAATCCACTAAGAGGTCTGGGGTAATCAACAGGATCACACTTCTCTTTCTCTCAGCAAGGGGCATCCTACAGCATGACCAAGGCAGCTTCTGTTCCAAAACCAGGCCTGAAGCCTGATTGAAATGGACCTAAAGAATCTATTTCATTCAAGAGTTCAGCCACCACCTGCTCAAGCATCTTGCCCAGAAAGGGGATGTTGGCTACTGGCCTATATTTGTCAACATCCTCTGGGTCCATGTTAGGCTTTTTCAGGAGTGGCTTAATTACATCTTCCTTTGTATTTATAGGCAGGATTTTAATGATTGTAAGCCGCCCCAAGGCTTATGCGAAGGGGGCGGCATATAAGCTGTCTAAATAAATAGATAGTAGATAGATAGATAGATAGATAGGCTGGTACCACCAAGGAGGCATTTACAGCCTCCTGGACCCAAGTACAAATGCCTCCCTTAGTTCTTGCAATAAGCCATGACGCTCAAGGGTCAAACACACAGCTGGTGGGCTGGACTGACCAAGCATCTTGGCAAAGCCTCAGGCCTCAATGAACTGGACCAGACAGTGCTCTGATGCCTCAGTAATTGCCATGTCCAATTCATGATGAATCAGAGCTAATCCTATTACTGATGTAATAAGACTTTACCATACATTACAGATTCTAAAAACATTGATGGGTTTTAATAAATTATTTAGAAAAATCCTGACATGTTTTTCCTAACTGTGAAATTCAGTAAGGAGGTTATCTTCATTTCTAGCTATATGAAAACTATTCATTTTTTCAGCTCAATGGTAATTTGCTTTTTTGATGGTTAAAACACTCCATGAGATTATTTTGCTATTTCCAGTTTCAGCAATGCTATTTGGAAAAGTTATTACATAAATAAATGTTATATTTGGCAGAGGACATTTTAGACAACTAAATTGCACTTCCACGTACTTTTTTTAGAAGAATACACTTTGATATTTATTTATTCTTGACAAACTAATGTTTCTCTGTGCACACACACACAAGATCATGCAGAACACAAGTGCAATATGACAAATTCAGGTTTTTTAAAGGAAAAAATAGTGCCATAATTCGGAAAAGAGGGAGCACACATACATGAAAAACATTTCATGATTTGATTTTGAACAGTACAAGTCAAAATAGAAAGCTTCATTCTTCATTCTAAATGTAAGTTGGATAGTAAGCTCCATTGGACAGAACTGCTCTTCTGTAAATCTGCACAGAAATTGGCACTGCACATGTGACCATTTTGCTGATCTGGAGACAGCCGAAGTAATCAAATACCTCATCAAGAGATGCAACAAAACAATGTCACCAAAAATGACCTATTAGTTATCCAAATGCTGTAAGCAGATACACAAATCAAAAACTTAACGTTGGGATATAAATTAGATGGAATAAAGTATCCTGGCTTTATTGTTTTGTGGATTTGTCTATTATGGTGCATGGCTGGCTGGGGCATCGTTGGAGTTGATATATGCATAGGAATCTGCCTTTAGTATCTTATGCAATGGAGCACACTTTTAATATTTATCAGGTGGGGTGTGCAAGACAGTACGTAGTCAACACTGGCTATTCCTTAGCTAGGCACCTGCTGGAAAAAGCTCCAAAAGGTTATTGCAGGTGGTTTCCATAATGCTACTGAATATTTTATAGGTACACTCAAAATGGGATCATTGGAAGTTCATGCTAACACAATTTCAGTAATGAGTCAATTTAATCTAAAAATCTATAAAGAACAAAATTCCAAAATGCCATTCCATAATCAATGGCCTAAATTAACCCAACTAATATGCACTCAATGTTTTAAACTACTGCAAAAAGAATTAAGAGTTAATTGCATTTCATTGCATGCATAATAAATCATGATTAAACCCACAGACCCCTCTCTTGCCACAGCTGGTAACAAAACATCAAGAAGCTTAATCACACCAGGTTTGTCCTTTTTTTATCCTTTCTATTTTATCTCAGAAAGAGTAGAACCACACACAGTAGTTGTTGATGTGTTGTCTGTTTCTTAAGAGGTGCAATTCCCTGCATGTTTAGACAGAAAAAAGGCCTACAACTCCCAGCATGCCACAGTTAGCAATGCTAGGGCATGCTAGGTACCCTCTTATATTAGTATACCTTTTACCATTGTAAGTAGGAAGCACTGGCTGAAAATGACTTGCAACAGGCAAGTCTACATTTTTCGCTTTTTATCAATTTAGTCCCAAGTGGACAGATCCACTAAAATGTTGCTTCTGATTCCTATTGCAGGTATACTCTTAAGTATATAGGTATAATATGGGAGCTTTATATACTTGCCATCTCGTGAGAATAGCTGTTACACAGTAAGTGGAACACTGTAACAGAATTTATTATTTTCCTCTTCTTCATTACCTGCGAACAATGCAACATTGGCGTGTTTTGCATCGTAAGGACACCTGGCCATCCCACTGAACTCATCTCCAAGAAACTCCAGAGTATCCATCTGAAAAACAAAGCAGAGCTCTCTCTTTAGGGATGACCAGAACAAGCTGCCCCTATCTGACTTCTCATGAGATTAATTTCAGTTCTCCCACACAACTTGCTTCTCAGCAGTTATTATTTTGTATTAAGAATACCATAACATTACAGTATTAAACTGCATCAGTTTAGATTCTAGAAACATCAAGAAAGCTTCCTTTATTATCTTCTTTAAGTCAAACCAACCCACATACTTCATAAGCAGTCTTGGTAGATATTTTATATGTAAAGTATAATTGCTGCTGTTGAATTGTTATTAAAGCAGCTTGTCATTCTGGCAAGTATATCAGTGGTACAATATAGTCCTGTGTTCACAATAAGGCATCTATGTGCACAGTGGTGGGAAGGGGCTAGTTTGTCCTAGGACATTGTTTTTATTATGTGCCATCAAGCTGTTTCTGACTTATGCAGGCCGTAAGAATGAATGCCCTCCAAAATGCTCTGTCCTGTGGCTTCCTTTCTGCAGTCAATCCATCTCAGACTTTGTCTTCATATTCTTCATCAGTCTTTGGCTTTCCCTAGCATGATTGTTTTCTCCAGTGAGTCTTGCCTTTCCATGATGTGCCCAAAGTATGACAGTCTCAGTTTTGTCCTTTTTGCTTCCAGGGAAGGTTCTGGCTTGATTTGATCTAGGACCCATTCAGTTGTCTGTCAGTCCAAGGTCTTGCAAATCTCTCCTCCAGCAACAAGTTTGCCCCATACTATAGGGGCACCAGCCCAGGCATGGGTTGGATCCATATTTTGCATGGGTGGATTTTCTCACCCCTCCATCCCATAGCAGCTCCTCCAGCCTCCTGAAAATGCTACACAAGAGCCTGAAAAATATGGTGTATTTGAGGGGGAGTGGAAATGAGAAAAATTAGGTGGAGGGACTTTCCATCTGTGGATCCTTTTCTCCTCAGGAAGTAAAACCATGGATCCAATTCCATAACTGCAACATGCATATGCAGATAGGTAGCATTCCACAACTAAAAGTTTCCTGCTAAGGGGAATGCTGCCTGACCTTTTTTCCTCCTAGGTCTCACTTTTTTCCTTCTAAGTCCCTGCTTTCTTTTTGCCATTTGCCTTTCAGGAGCACATTTGCTATGTTAGTTTCAGCCAGTGTGATACATAAATCCTCTTTCTGTCTGTCAAGAATTAATCTGCGAAGTACTTGTAAATCTCAGCCTTAAGTGTAACCCCTGGGAAACTAATTCTCCACAGGGTAGCAGTAATTATACAAATAACCATCTCAACACAAAGCAGAAGTTCAGCAGGTTTATAGTCAAAGCCACAGGGGAAAGCAGAGCGCCTATAGGCCCAGGAGTCGTGAATCTTAGGATTACTCAGCAGTGACTTCTGCTTTATTTGGGTTCTGATCCACCTAGCAAATTCACCTAGTAGAAGGTGCACATCTTATAAAAACAAAGCAAAAATCAGAGAGTAGATAATAAGCCATCTAAGCACCATCAGTCTCATCCAATCAGCTCTCCCACTCATGTGCTGAGAGACTTATTTCAAGCAATGGGTGATTTGTCATCATTTGTTTCCTGTCATGTATCTTCCCTCTCCAGACTTTCTGAAGGGAATTACTTGTGTGTATTCTAAGATGGAAAAGTATTTAGAACAATACTAAAAGGGAAGGAGGGGAGCTACTTAAAGTGTAGCATTCCAGGCTCATCTGCAGTTTCACTTCAGAGCCTCAAGAGATGACAGTAGCATCAGCCCAGCACATCAAGTGCTCTGACACCAGTTAGCCCAGGTGTTCCACTGACCTTCTAAAGGCCCCCGAGATGTTATCGTACAGGCTCCCTGACAGCATGGCAGCAGGTGAGGAAACCAACATAGGCCTATATATCATGAGGAATGAAACATCTGCAGAAGTAGTAAAGAAGGCCATTTATATTCCTTACATCCACGAAGGAAAAGAGGCACAGATTTGCATAAAATATGTAGCTTCCCAGATGGGAGACTCTGAGATTTGTCTGTCAAGTTTACTACACTGAGCAAAAAAGCATAATTTCTCACACTAATTTACTAAAAGCCTAATTTCTCACTATGGGACTCTTCACATGTAAGGGCAACCCATGAGTTAAATAAACTGTGGCCTGGCAGGGAGATGCAGGTAGCATACCCATCTCTTCCACTTTTACTCTACACCCCACAATCAGCTTATTCCTAGGTTACAGAACTTTACGTCCAAACTTGGATTGTTGGACTGTTTAGGCACTACAACAAACTATGGGTTAACTGTCAGGTTGTTTAGACCAGGAACTTTCCAGCTTTCTCAGTTTAGATGTTACAGTCTCCTACCTATGAAGGAGCTGATATAGGTTTATGGTGTAAAAGCATAAGTGGCAAGTGTGCTGGAAGCAGTATGCCTGCTGTTTCCCACTTCTGCTTGACAGCCCATGAGTCAGTTATCAATGGGTGACTGTTACACACAATGTTTGTGAGTCTCCCCAAGAACTGGTTAAGCCTGTGTACTTCAGCTGATATCCTTCTATTCTGATCATTAGTTTGCTTAGCTCAGGCTAGGGTGGAAGCTGCAATCACAGACCAGGGTGCCCTAAATAGCTACCCAGAGAACAGCAGGGGATGAGGGTGGAAGCATCGAACAGGCACAGGATTAGCACCTAGGCCAGCATAGGCAAGCTAAGACCTCCCAAGGCTGAGGCTGATCACCTCAGCATCTTCTCTTCATTTACTCTTTGGCTGCTTGGATGCATGGTTACAGATTTTCATTCTATTATGTTTACTTTTAAAACATACAGTCCTTTTCTACAACAAATGCTGCTTATTCCCAAGTAAACATGTATCCTATCCAAGTAGCAGGAACAAACTTCATTTTATTCTAATAGTCACAGTGATTATATTGTTTAAGCAAATATAAAATGGAAAATTAACATGCTTTTTGTTTTGCGTTTATCGGGTCTGGCAAAGTCCTTTTTTTGTTTTAATGTATCATGATTGTTGACACAGTTTTAAGCATGGAATAACCTTGTGATCAGGCATGGAGAATGTTAATTGTGTGCTTCAGAACTGGAGTAATAAAACATGATTGTGTAAAGTGGATCTCATAAGCCCAGGAAGTCCAAGGTCTAAAATTGCCTAGGCACATCAAAGTGTTTGCTGGAAAAAAAAAAAAAATAGAAGGAATTGGCTTATACAGGGCTATATGTTGCTTCAAGGTGCCAGAGCAAACAGCAGTGTTTACCAGCCCAGATGACTAGCACAAAGGCTGATATTTTAATTCCTGGACAGACCAAGAGGTGTTTAAGGGAAGATACCACAAAATATCTCCTGGGAATCCTTTGTACCTCCCTTGAGAGGCTCACTTCACACTTGGGAGAAGCTGAGGCTTGAAGTGACATCAAGATCAAGGAGCGCTGTTATGTGGTACTTGTAAACGTAAGAGTTAACAAGCAGAAATGTAAGTTATGTCAGAGTAGTGAATATAAATCATGGAATGCCATGTATCCCAACTGTATTCTTTAGGATTGTCTTCAACAATGGACATTCTACAGAGAGTGTATACTGTAAATGATACAGCAAACTTAAGTACATTTATGTATGTAGCAATTTGAGTCCCACATGTTTGTATAAACCTTATTGAAGAATTATACCCACTTAAAATAGAAACAATAATTGCAACCTAGGTTTTCTGTATTTTCTTCTTTTTTAAAAAAAAAAAGTATCTGCAAGGGAATGGATTGACGTTCTGAAAGGATGAGAGGAGTACTGAGCAAGATTATCACCGGCTGGAGCTGGCTTTGAAGCACAATTCTGTGGCATCTGTCTCTGGGAGTGTTGCAAAAGCTAGGTTTGCACAATCACTGGGAAAGCTGCTATGGCTTCTGAGATTGTGCAAACCATGCTAATGGCAATTAGCTCCTAAAAATAAACAGATCAGTGAAAATGGTGAAGCTCAGTCAGACTCATTAAAAAATTGAGCCAAATAAAGCAAGTCTTCTATGATGCTCTAGCAGTTCTACACACTACCAGAGAATTGCTCCAGAGCTCCTTGTGACAACTGGAGAGAGATGGAGGGTACCTTGAGGAAGCAGCAAAGTTTGACTTCCATATTCATCCTGCTGTGAATTTCTCATTCATCTGGAAACCAATAATCTGGAAACTCTTGCAATTACATGGAGGGAAAGGCTGGGGTACTATGCCACTTCTTGAAGGGATAGGCAGATTTTAGGCATGGGTGAACAAATACTGATATTTCTGAGGGTCGTAATAAAATGATAAGTAGAAACCAAAGAAAAAAAGTTTTTTTTACTAATGGAATGGGGTAGTGGTGAATTTTGGCAATACTTAAAATTAAGGTTTCCTAGTCCAACTATTTCTTGGTGGGGTAGGGAAGAGAAACATTATGTGCAATGCAACATTCATGTGGAATTCACTGAGGAAGGAGGTTATAAACAGGAAAGCAAAAGCACATAAAAGAGTGTACAACCCCTTCTGACAAAAGGAATTGTGTATTTTATTATTATTATTACATTTATATCCAGGAACCCACTGTGAGCCGTCCAGAGACTCAGTGTGATTGGACGGCCTAGAAATATCCCAAATAAATAAATAAATTCAAAATACCCAAGGAGAATTAGAAATTTCTTCTCAATAATTTATCCCCCACCCCCCTGGCACAACATTATGAGATAGCTTTTGCTGAGAGTCAGTGATTGGCTTGAGTTTCCCCAGCAAGTTTTACTTATTTACTCAGTTTTACTTAGTTGGAATAAGATTTTGGATCTTCCAAGTCCCAGTCCAACCATTATGTACCCTGGCAAATAAACATAATATCAAGGGTTCCTCTAGTGCGGAGACATATGTTGTGAATATGCAAATGTGTGCAAATTTAACTGACAGACAAATAGGTTAAGTATGATAATTAGTCAATTAGAAGTTGCATAATTGGATTACAGTTTTTCCTTGGCTGTTGCTCCTACTACTTTTTTCATTATTGCGTTTTACTACCACAGTTTTGTGGCAAATATGCCTCTAAATCTTCATCAGCAAATCCATCACATACAATGTATCCACACCCTAGAATTTTTGTAATGGCTTCTTGCATAAAATCCCTGAGTGTGGACCCAGTAAACATGAACCTCTATACCACAGCAGAAACTCACAGTTTCTACTGGCAGAATTGAGATTTTGTTCATTTGCAAAGCTGTTGAAAGCTTCCACCTCTGAATCAGGTAGGTGACCTTCAGCATCCTACAATACACCCTGATCCTGCAGTGGCTTTTACAGCTGAGCTTCTCGTCCATTTATATCACTATTGCAATAGGAACCCTGAAGTTGTTCCTGCACAATGTAAGTCAGTACTTTTTCTTGCTGTTGAAGTTTATTTTCTTCAATGTCAGAAAGAATGAACCATCTAATAGATGTTAATGAAAAACCCTGCAATGAGTTGCCGCTGCACAGAATTCTATGATTCTATGTATACTCCTGGTCAAGTGTTCCACATATTCTTTCAGGATAATCCCATCTCCTGCTCAAGCCCAGCCCTGTATCTCAGCCTCCATTTGGCCTTCTGTAACACTCAGCATTCTGTGACCACTGAACATGCTCAGTCCTCACTGGGTTGTTTTGGGAATTTTTGCCTCCTTAGTTTGTTTTTCCCCAAACCTATTTTTCTACCTCTACTAACTTTGGGGGGCTCCTTGAACAGACGGATAACTTCATTATTCTCTAGGGTTTTGTTTTGGCAACAATCCTGTTGGCTCTCATAACCTGAGTTCACCACTATAAAAACATTAACAGAATTTTCTGGGGATGAAAAGGGAATATTTTTAAAGGGGTGGCAAACCCATCATTCCGACATGCCACTTGGGCATTGGAGGAGTGACTGTCATTGGTGGTGGCACATGTGAGATTTGAAAGAGTGGCAGAGGGTTTTGCACTCTGGCCAAGTGGCTCACTAGCCAATCTCTACAAAATAATTTTGATGTTGGTCTCTTGGGTTCAGTTGACATGGAAACCCACCACTGACTGAACAACTTCTAGAACAAGCCATAGAGTATCAGGGTAACTTGTTGCTGAAAAACAGATCACCTTACAGGAAGCAGTGTGTGTTCAGGCAATACAACAAGCCACCTTGGCTAGTTAACAACAATGAGTAGTTGTGTTGTAGGAATCCAGTGAGCAAATCTTCCTTATTCTCATATAGGCTAGAGAGGATCCTTAGGATTGAGAGAGATTGTAAGTGGGGTCTGTGGTTCACTCTGCCTCAGATTCTAAGCCATTCCCTATGGAAATAGCTAGAAGCATTTTCAGTGACTGTGGGAAGATCAAGATTTGAACACTCAAAACTAAAATGACCAATAGCAAAAATATATTAAAAACAGAAATCAGTATTCCGATTACTCTTTGTGTTGTAAGCCGCCCCGAGGTTTCGGCAAGGGGCGGCATAGAAATGTTAATAATAATAATAATAATAATAATAATAATAATAATAATACTCTTTGGCAGGCTTCTTTTCCCTGGTCCACACACACTGGACACATGCTGCACAATTTATCTAATTACGCTCACTCCACAGCACAGGTTTTCCTAGCCCAACAAGGGGTGCAGTATGGATCACTTCAAAATGAGCCCAGAGCACATGGCTTGTTGTAGTGTTTTCTCTGGTAATCATGTAAATGCAACCACTATGTGTATGACTTCAGATGAACTTAGATGCCAAAAGTTACTTTACTGAGGAGCAATTTGGGAAGCTGATGAACAGTGGTTGATCAGTGCTGACTATTTATCTTCTCATGGGCCAGTTCCCTGCTTCTTCACTGCCTCTTCTGTGATTGCCGGGTTGAGCATAACACCCTAACCAGCCTCCTGCTTCCATATGGTTGAGCTAGCTGCAAATCCTTGGCTTCAGGCATCTCCTTTCAGGTCTGAACACTTTAATTAGCAACAACCAGGGGAATAACTTGAGTTTACTAAGCTGTAAGATATTGTTCCAAGTGACTACAAAGTATTATCAGGCTTAGACAGCAATAAATACCAGTTTCAAAAGGATTGTTAAAGATACCTAAACTGCTTTAGGCGCACTTTCATTTCAGATCAGGATTAAACCTCTCAATATTTAACACCCCTCCCTGCCACCAGCTGCAGCCCTAAGCCCTGTAGGGCTCTGATGCACACCTGAGCAAAGCTTTCCCATTTACTTCAGTGTTGAAGAACATCCTGTGCAATCAGTGGACTATGTGAACCTAAACTATCTCAGCAGTGCAGTGTGTAAAAACTTTGCTTCAGAATCAGTAAAGTTAACCTAAAGCAGATAAACTGGTTTATCTTTCAAGATAGTTTTGCATTTCTTTGGTGAGGTGGAGATTTATTTGAATGCAGTTCTAATAGATACCAGAACTTTTGAAATTCAGACAATTCTGATATGGCAGAATCTCTCAGACAATGTATGCTTTCTTACAAATGCCATGCATACCTTATAATTCCTGCAGGAAGGACTGAAGGCATTTGTCCCACAAATAAATAATGTATCATCACTTCTTTTTAGAAGAACCTTAATAAAGTTATGACATTCATCCTGCAAAAAGAAAAAGGAAAGAAAGGAAAAGAACTAAAATAGTAGTTTAGAAAATGCATCACAAATATTCTTTGTTGATTATCATGCAAAGACTATACATCCACAGAAATTTTATTCCAGCATTTCTGATTTCTTTTTTAAAACAAGGTAGCAAAGAATTTTCTCCTAGGAATATGAAAACAAAGTGATTGTTAGGAATGGTAGCATTACATTTCTCCCCTAGTTGTTGTTCATTAGATAAAATGCATTTTGATAGGATTGCATGACAAAAGGGTAGGACCTCACTACTTCAAGTACCAATATGGTGGTAAAATGCTAGCAAAAGGACAGCAATTGTATTTGATCTAACTTTATCCACAGTTACTCATGTTTTGCATTACAATAACATTTGTCGGAGATTATTTCTGCCTCTCCTGTGCCTTGAAAAAGAAGCACACATATTATGCCAGTTCCCAGTGGAAAATGGACAGCAGTGTTTAGCTACCTAAAATAGCATTGAACTATGCCAGTACACCTTGCAAAGTCCCTAATCCCCTCTGCTCCTAAGTATTTCATGATGTTACTGCAGCTACTGTCATAATGTTTCGTCACACTGCAAGCAAACTATTTTTGCAAATTAAAATCTTCAATATGCTGATGGAAAAAAGCAATTACTAGCTTAGAAGTGAATGGCATGATCCATTCCTAATCATGGAGAGCGGTCTGAGATAACCGTCAAGAAACTAAACAAAAGTGGCAGCTGCTGGAGAAATGAAAATTGCTTACCTTATGTTTTCCCTTCATTCTGCATGTGTCTACATCGAGCTGTCTGGATTTCCACGTCAATTTCTGCAAGGATCAAGAAAGAAATCAATTAGCGCCCAGAGTTGTTGTGTTTGATTTCAAAAGCAAGAGTCCCCTAGGAAAACTAGCTGCTGAATATGAACATATTGAAAGCTTTCTGCACTTTTGCCATGGTTGATTTATCCTAACAATGGAAGGCCATGGAAGCAGAACCCTTGCTTAGTTTTGATTGGCACCTAGTAAAGTTGAAACATTTTTCATTATTTAAGAAAAATAGCATTTTTGCCAGGTGGCATGGTTATATATCTTTTATTGTTCTTTGTTATAATGGACTGTGTATTTCCATCCATCCATAATAAAAATAATAATAGAGGTAAACAGATACAAAAGTATTCCCTTCTTAATTTATTCCCATAAATTAATGGTAAATTACCATGTCATAATACTGTTTCTGATGAGCTACAGACTTTCCATTTATTAACTCAAAGTGTGCCTGGTTCACTATTTGAACCTATTACAGAGTTGCAATGACATATAATCCAAGTTATCTGTGTTAATTATAGTTGATTCACAGGTTTCTGTATCAGTGATGGAGTACATGCTTTACACACAAAAGGTACCAGGTTGAATCTTTAGGTAGTGCTAGGAAAGACTCCTGCTTGGAACTCTGCAGGGCAGCTGCCACTCAGTGTCAGCAATACTGGGCTACATGGATCAATATTCGTTGCTCTTTAAACTAGGTTTTAGTTCACAAGCAGATCAGTTTTAAGCTACTTGCCCTTAAGTGGAAGGGAAATGTTGAGAAATAGAGCCATTTATAGATATACTGTCTGAGAAGCTTGGTGTTGTAGCACTGAGGAAGTAAAGTAAAACCTCATTAAGCCACATTATCCATGTGCCTTAAAATACTGATAGTTATATTAAGTATTTGGGCAACATTTCCACCCAACAAAGAAATCTATTATTCAGTTGTTAAGAATTTTTAGACCTTGAGTGGCACAGCAATTTTTTCACTGCATCCTGGGTCTACTACTTTATCCCTAAATTTAGAAGTAGTGTCATTTCTGCATATGATGTCAATGATCATTTTTAGGGTGCCAGAGGCATTCCTGGTAGAAAAATGAACTTTTTCTCCCAATTGTTTTTCAAAACATCACATCAGATATGAATTATTTAATGGAGAGCATCAACAAGAAGCAAATTTTCATTTTCTGTCTTAGTTTAACTTGATTACAATGGATATTTGTATAGGGCTAGTGAAGAGACTATTTTATTTAGCATATAGTGACTTGACTGGATATAACATTTCACTCAAATGTTTAAGCAGAGTTTGCCTGCTTAAAACTAGGACTTAAAATCAACTACTAGAGTCCTGGCTATAAATAGAAAAAAATCTGATAAGTTTCTTTGCTGAGAGCAAGCATTCTATCAGATGTTTATAATGGACAAGGCAGCTCTGTCAGTCTTTCTCAATCTGGTGCACTTCAGATACATTAGATTACAGTTCCTGGCATTCCCCAAGCCAGTGGCATTAATTGGAAAGGCTGTCCTATGTGATTAATATGCATCATCTTCTTTGATTGTTGCAACTTTAAGTACAATGATGGAAAGCTGTGTTGACCAACTCCCCTTTCCCTACTGATCCTGTTTTAGTTTGTGTGCCCTTGGCTTGTGAATGATAGAATGCTACTTACTTTGCTAAAATAAATTTCTTCTGTATGTGAGGCATCCATATCAACTGTATAAATATGGTCCCTGTAAACAAAGTGGAAAAAAGGAATGTCAAGATAAATTCAGACAGTTCATTCCCCCCCCCACCCCCAGAAGGAATGATAAATCATTGGCATGGGTAGTGAGCAGGTGCTAAATACGATAATATCAAATGAATTAGGAGTCATACCTCCTGCTACCTTTCTTTATGAAAGCCAGAAACTCAATGTGAACAATTGTTCTAAATATACCTGCTGTGAAAGAGGGCTTTACTGATTCATTATCCTTGAGCACAACTATTTTGATAGACAGGTGAAGTACGGATCAAATAATTAAACAGAGAGAGCCTGATAACTTGAAAAGGTGCAGGTTTCTCAAGAGTGCTATTCAGAAAAAAAAGGTTCTTTCTGTGGCCCATAAAAGCGCAATGCTTATCAGCCCAGAATGAGTAGGATCTACTGCAAGGGTCAGCAACATGTATCCTGCAGTATGCTTGGTGCCTCCCCAGCTTCTTTTGTGCTCCCCTACTGAACCCCATCCTACTGAATTTTCTGCTAAAATTTGGCATGGCATTGACAAGAAAAAAGTGTAAATTTTTCTTGAAACAAGGAGTATGGGGAGCATAAAGATTATTTTCAAGGGAAGTTGCCATTTATTTTTGTTTCTGTCATAATGAATTTTGATGGCAAACTGATAGTCCAGGGCTGCAGGACTATGGGCCCAGTATGGGGTAATGCACACCTCTAGGAAATCTACAAATTTCTACCAGAAACTTTGCCTTAAAAAAAGTTTTCTATTTTAATGAGAAAGCAATTTAATCATTTCTCAAATTTAAATATTAGTCTTCCCCTCCTGAACATGGGTGTTTCCTTTTTACCTCACAAAATTAAACCACTCCAGTTTGTACCATAACTGTCAGCCCTTCAATTTATCATGGAAATTTCATTTTTGTTTCCTGCTTTGATTTGTGAGGGTGTGGATGGGCCAAGGCAGGATGTGTTGTGAGCTAGGGTCCTTCTCTGTAAATACACTACTCCAGAACTCTTTTTTCCAACAGATTTCATTGTTACATGCCTCTGAGTTCACCCAGAGTGAAACTCTGAACCCTCTTTAGCAATCATTCCCTTGCATTTTTATAACCCTGTCAGTGTCTCACTCCAGGAGGCAGGATGCTGTGTAATCGTGCTTGCCTGTGCTCTTCCTGTTTTCCTTCCAACTGAACCTAACAGCCAGTGCCACTTCCTGAGGTGGAAGGACTTTTATGTCCAACAAATTACTGAGCTCTCTATCCCCACTCCCCTGCTCCCTATCCCCACTCCCCGGCTAGTCTATGGCTCCACCTCCTTGTCATGGATTCGTAGACTAGTGCTTCCCCAAGCACAACCTGTCAATCCCTCCTCTTCTCCTATCCCTTAATTCCCACAGGTCAATTGACCCAGAGTTTCCTCCGCATGAACTACCAACTCCTCCTGCTCTGTCTTCTCAGACATTCCCTGTCCTTGGTCTCCAGCTTGGACACGCTGAGATTCTCATCAGGCTGGGCAGCTGCTTGTGTGCACGCAGCAAATGTAGTATGGTGCATGTGCACAACAACAGTCCAGGAGAAAGGAACATTAATGGAAAGAGGGATACAAGACAAACTGTCCATTGGGAAAGTTGCTATAATCTCATACTTAGCCTCACATATCACTACTGTTGGTTACACAAAATACCCTTATATGAGTGCTTTATAGATATTTAAAGTAAAGCAAAGCTTGAAAAATGTACACACCTGGAATAGAAGAATGAGTTAACAGTGTAAATGATTCTCTTATGTGTCTTGGCACCTTAACATGGTTTAGCAAACATATTTATATTATTGCTTATCAGAGGGGTCAGAAATCTGTGGTTTTCCAAGTGTTGTGGCCTGCAGCTCCAAGCAGCCCTAGTCACATAGCTGATGGTGAGGGAAGCCAAAGCTGTCCAACCGTGGCTTAGAAAAGAAATTGCAGTGTCAAGGTGAACCCCATTCAGGCCTGTGGGCAATGGCTATTATTGAATGACTCCACAACACATGCAGAGGCTGCAAAGCACCGGCAGAACTCTGCATATGAAAAACCATCCTTGTTTTCTTTTATGAGCAGGCGTTCTTTGTGCATTGATGCGAATCCTTGTGCACGAGGAGCTCTTGACCATGTCCATACCCCAAAATATGAATTGTACAGATGCGCTTATTATCCAGATGCCTTAAGATCTTTTGCAAGGTTCTAGGATGACATTCAGTGTGCCATTGTTGGCTATCAAAGGCTGTAAGGAGACTAGGCTTTATTCTCTTTTCCCCCTTCTCTGTAAGAAAGGCACAATGGATATGTGTTTTGAATGACAGTAGGGATAAGGAAAAAGGTTGACAACAACCTAATTTTTAACCTCCTTGTTTTGCTGAAAATGGAGTTTTGTTAAAAATTACATTCCAGTTCCTCTTCAAAGCAAAGAACAGGGCCATGCAGTGCCAGTGTGATTATTTTTACACAAACCCCTTCTGTGATGAGCCAGATACAAGGACATTTTCATCTTGGAGGCAGGAAAACAAAATACCACTCTTTGAAACATTGAAGGACCTACTATACATTGGAAGAAAAAATAGAGGTGTGCACGGGGCTGGTTTTTCGAAGTTGCCCACCCTCTCCTCTGTCACATTTAAAACAATATGAACTCCCCACCCACACATCCCATTCAGGTAGCCTTGCTGATGAAACTGAATGATCTTTGGCATTAAAGGGGTCTGCAGAAATTGGTTGAAAGGACTATCTGTACACACACATTTTCCAATTTTAAGATCTCTGCTGTCAAGATTAGCTTCTTTTATCAAGCTTTGGAGGAGGCAGGTTAGCTTCTAGCTAAATCAGACAAAAACATTCCTTGCTGAAAGATGCATAATGAGCACCACTCTTCCCATATGGAGAAAAGGGGTAAGCCTTTTCATAGAAACAGGCTCTCACAATTCTTCTGTCTACCACTGCATTGGAGGCTGTGTGCTTTGCAAGATGCCAAACTCTGTGTGCACGTGTGCGTATGTGCACACTCTTTTCATATGTTTCCCATTCTCCTGCAGAAACTGTCATTTACTTTCATGACAGGTTTAATGGGTTGGCTTATTATTTGCTTGACTTCACTGGCAGAACTGTGATCAGAGGTTGGTACCAGAGCAGAATTTTTACAGCAATCTCTGGTGTGCTCTCTCCTGCCCCAGTCCCCTCTGTTGCCCACACAAAGTGGTATATTTTCCACTATTAAGCTGCTATGGAAAAGTAGCAAATAAATAAATAAGAAGTAAATCTGAATTGTAAATGAGCAAGTGATTATTATGCACTGGCAACATCTAAAAAATGTTCCACTTGCCCTCTTTTTCACAGTTCTGTATATGTTAATTACCAGTAAAAATGAATGCAGTAAGATTTCAAAACAGGCTTGGGTTGCTAAGCTCTACTCTAACCACATGGTAACTGTGGCTCCTTATAATGACTTAGTGACTGGTTTGCCAAAAACCTCCAGAAAAAGGAACATTTCTGATCTGAACTAACTGGATGAAATCTGATTTCCAGATAACTGGAAACCATTCTCATGTAGCCCACTGAAACCACACAATGGCCAATACTGAAAGCACTGCCAAGGACTAGATAGACTTTGCTCAACTGCTAACAGTAAACAACTGGGCTTTTCTGTTTCCCTGGTGCTGCCCAGCAACTCTCCTACCCCTTCTGTGTGGAGAATCTGTGTAGCTCTTACTAATTAAGCTATTCTTTACACAAATCGACAATCTTAACACTTCCGTTTTTCCCACCTCCAGTCAGCAGATTGTTGCCATGGCATTATTATGTAAGGGAAGGAAACTGAGATAATCCTGGCTCCGGTCGACCCTTGGCCACTTATTGCAGCTGTTAGACTTTCAGAACTGCAAGAAGTTCAGATGTTTACTGGGGAAAAAAACCCTCCCAAATCTTCAAATACCTTTGAGGAATGACAGGTTACTGAAAAGTGCAACAGGAGAGAGAGCAGGGCACACTGTACATCTGAAAAGTGTGTGTGTGAAGCTGGCAGGAGGAGAAGAGCAGAGAGAAAATGACACTTCCCACAGCTATAAAAGGAAATGTTATTTAATTATTCAAATTTTGCTTGTCCTTCTCGTCCTTCTCTGTTCAACACTTGTCTCATGTAATCAAGCTGATCAAACTTCTCCAATTCAGTCTTTTCAAGAATATAGAGTATATAGAATATATAACATTTTGGCTCAGCTTTTGAGAGTTCAGCTCTTAATAGCTGTGTAAGGTTAAGCATCTAGGCCCTTTGCAGCTTACAATTTAATGACATGAATTGCTCCAAGGAATCACTGATACTTTAGAAGATCCCACGTGGGAACTATTAGTATATGTTACCAGCTCAGAAAAAGACACTCTTATTGAGGTTTCTTCAAGCTAGTTACAAATGAAAGAGGCTTTTCAGTTTTTATTCTTAGCATTCTATTGGTGCTAGGTCTTGTGTGTGTAGAGGTCACACTAAGGGCCACAAAAACCTGGATGCAGTTCTCAATGTCCATTAAATGAAACACAAAAAAACATCTGGTTTGTTCTCTTTCAAGATGAATACAATCATTGCTTCACTGAGTAGATTTCCACTATTAATAATGGAGCAGATGCTGCCCCGGATGTCTGTTGCACTGTGTCCTTTCTAGAAGCAAATGTAGTTTATGATTGCCTTTGTAAACCTCCATTTGTATCACATCATACCCTTCTTCTGTGACAATTAAGAAAATGGCATAATTGTGATTTTTCAGGTCTCAACCTTTTCTCGGAAATTACTGAACATTCTGGAGAACTAACTTCCAAGCAAACACTGAGTGATGGATTTCCTGAATTGCCTCAACAAATGTTAATCATTTGTTTTTATTGTTTTAGGTAATTGGATACAAATGTATACTTAACATCACTATATTTAGACAACTAAAAACACAAAACAAAACAAAACAAACCCCAACACAGTGGAAAAGAACATCTGATATTGTAGCTCAGGGATTTATGCCAAGAACAGTTTCAATTAATGCCTTTACAAAGCTATTTGATGAACACCTCTGATTAGATTCATATTTGCCACTGTGCCTGGGTTTGTTCTACAACCACCAAAGGAGAAATAGAGGTGTAGGTATAAATTTTCATTCACACTAATTATGCAAAGATGACTCACTTTCTAGTTTCTTACCTAAAGATGAAAGTGGTCTGTGTTCTGAAATTTTGCTTGCTACATCAATTCTTAACTTAGCAAGGGATTTCAAGTGGCATTTGGAACAAAACAGTTTTATATAATGTTACTGCAGGTAGCCAAACAAAACTTAAGAGTAGACCCATTGGAATTAATAGGACTTAACTTAGACTTGATTAGTGGGTCTAGTCTAAAAAAGACTGTATCTGGATACAACCCATGCAAATTTTGTATTGGTATTGGTAAGCACCATAGGCTGAAGATTTTGGAAAGCCCTTGGACATCTCCCTGAGTGGGCTGAAAAGGAGAGAAGAGGGAAACTGGAGGATCCTGCTCTAGAACAACTGAAGTGTGTTACTCTACCTCCTTATTCTTGCCACTGTTTGCATGTTTAGAAAGGCCACGCAAACAGGCAGTGGCAGCAAACCAGAAAAGAAGCAAGGTCAGAAGGCCTACAGTGGGTCACAAATGGGAGGTGATGGACCTAAGCAAATTCTCAGTGCTGCCTCTTCTAATGCTGACCTTGTTTGCAAGAACTAAACTGAATTTAATCTTATTGTCTACAGAGCCAATTTGAAAATTTCAGTATTTGCATTTTCAAAACACTACCTATTTGAGGAATGTTTGATTTACTACTTCCTGAACATGTTACCTTGACTTGTTTAGTCTAAATTTAATGATTGATTTCCTGTGGAACTGGACTGTAAAGACATGTGTGATGGTTCGAACACTGTATGACATGTTAATGTAATAACTGTCAACCAAGTTAGCATCTTCACAGATCTTGATCATGGAGACATTCTGGCAGCAACCTCCCGCTCCTTCCAAGTTCAGTTATTCTAATCCAGAATATACCTATACATTTTAACAGGGCTATTATGGAGTATATGATTTCTAATTGAATCTGAAGTTGCCACCTGGCTCATTTTAAGTTGGCCCAATTATTTTGTTTAGCTTTATTTTTACTTAACTGTTTTGAATTTTCAAGTATAGTCAAGCGCAATCAAGTATGACTTAACAAATGCCAGCAAGCAATGGCCAAATATTTAACTTTGAAAAACTAGCAGAATTTATTCAGACAATTCACATGATTTTGGTGAAAGCGTTGGTTTCAGAAAATCTGGAAATAATTTGTCTCCTTATCCATAGTAAATTGGTCACAGCCAATTGGTAAATACCTTATACAGAGTATTTGCATGCAAGCTCAGATTACTCTAAATGTAGATTACTAATGAAATGCTACAAATGTGGTGCAAAGACTGCACAACAAGTTCTCCATGGGCAAAAAGCCAACGAACAGTTTTTTTTCAAGTGGCTGCCACTTGGCCAGATGGTCACATAAACTGGTCCTTCAGCAGGCACTCTTGAGATTTTCTCTTGCAAACTGGGGGAAGACTTTAGACCAACTCATACAACTAAACTGGTATATGGAAACAGAGCAAGTTGATCTCTTCAGAAGCTGGTTCCTCCTGAAGCAAATCTAATGGGTGCTTCAGCAACTTGCACCACAACCACAGTTGACTTCATATTACTGAATAAGGTTCACTTATAATTGCAACTTTTCCACTAAGAGCTCTCAAAGTCTCCTAGCTGTGGCCTGCCAAATGGAATTGCAAAGAAACCACAGTTTGTTCAAGAAATAGGTTCCATAATACTAATTAACTTCCCACTTGCCAAATCATTTGAAAGCCATGAAGTGTACACATTTCTTTTATCCCTGTTTTCTCTTTCTGTTTTACTATAAAATATGCTTAGTATCCTGATGTCATTAATATTTAATTCTACTTCAAATATGTACTTATGCAATGTGGATTATTATTGTTTATTCTCCAAAACATGCAATTAGTTTTGTATGCAAAATCAAAAGCTATTTTAGAAATATAATCATTCCAGTATTCCAGATCTGTTCTATATGGTGAGTTGCTTTGGTAACAACAATTAAAGTCATCAACCAGCAAATATCCAGCCATCAGTGCTGTGCAGCATTAAGTCCTTTTTGGATATACATCACAACTCTTGGCATTCATATACATAATAAATGCAACCAAACCCGTGGGCAGAGCTTAGAAAAGCCCAAACAAATGCGCACTAAACAAATGTGAGAGGACAGTCTAATTTTTCATGTTTCACATAGAGTTGCATTTTTAAAAACCTGAAGGAATTTTGCTTTTCCCAGTGAGACTATTGCTCAACTATAATTGTGTAATATCACCACATTTCTAAGAGCAACAATTTCACTTTATGAACAGGTTCAAAGAAAAAAAATTCTGAAAGAGGCTCTTTCTTTGCTGTCATTTTTCCACATAAGGCCAAGAAACATGCACCAATGATATTGGTTCACTGCTTGGGAGTGGGCCTAGAGAATGACTTATCAAGGCCAATGGCTTGGCTTTAGTCTTATCTCTTTGCAGGAAATGTATGAAGGAGGCTGTCTATGCATTACCTGGCCCACATACTAGCTGACACTCTGTGGAGGTTCTCCACTGTAAATGCAGTGTGCTTCCCTCATGGAAACTTCCAATTATAAGATTTCAACCCAGCAGTGCTTGCCTCCAGTAAACTCTGGTGCTGATGTCATCAAGGACTATCCATGAGAGACGCTTCTGTACATTGTGAAAGGGGGGAAATGACTACACAATGGATATAATGTTTAGATCAATCTTGAGCTGGAGATGAGCTTGCAAAGCCTGGGTATGATTTATTTGTAAAGGAATATTTACAATTTCACACATTTCTGCAAGACCTCATGTTGATTTGACTTATTAAAAAACCCTAAAGAAAACATCGGATGGAGCTAGTTTAGAGAGTTCCGTTTCTGTGGTTATGAAAGCAGAGAAAGTTCTGAGGAGCAAGGACTAACCTAGCAGCAATGTAGAGGGTTCTGTCCATGATCATAAGCAACTGAATGTCCAGTCTGTGCCTTTGTGGGGCGTTGTGTCCTGGCTTGTGACCCACAAACACCGGATACTGTTTTGTATCTGTAAAAAGTGGAGAAGAGCTTGAACAGAAACATATACACAAGGCGCTCAATCAAAGCATGTTAACATTGTTCAGATTGTATCTGTCGCCATCTGTGAAGTCTAGAACATCTACTTTTTCTAGAGCAATTGTTTCTCCTCCCCTGACTCCCACAACAATAGCTCAGTAGATAATACAGCTCAGAGGGGAGCAACTTGTTGCTCTCCAGATCATCAGGCCTTTAACTCACACCAGCTCTGCTCAGCATAGTTAGTGAACAGTGGGGGCTGATGGGAACTGTAGGCAAAATCCTTTGAAGGACCCCAAGTTGCCCTCTGCTTACACATGGAAGTGGTTGCTTTATCATTTATAATTTTAAAAATTCAGCATTAGCATAGGACTAGGACTTGTGTGATCCAGGTTCTAGTCCTTCCTTGGTCATGAAGTTTATTGGGTGACTTTGGGCCAGTCACTTACTCTCAGCCTAACCTATCTCAATGGTTTGGTGTGTGGAGAAAATGGGAGGAGGACAACTATGCAAGCCTGCTTGAATTCCCTAGAAGAGGGAAAAACCAGTGGTATAAATATAATAACTAGGGGTGTGTATGTGTGTGTGTGTATGCCAGAAGAGTTAGCCTTCCCCATCCTGGGGCTTTCCACACGATGTTGGTAACTGCTCTCATCCTTATCACAACTGGCCATGCAAATTGGGGATGATGGGGTGATAGTTCAAATCTCCAGAGAGCACCACTACCAGGGAAGTCTGATTTTGGCATTTCTGATACTTAACTTTTACACCTGGCTTCCTTTTCTATTGCTAAAGCACTAAAGAGCTGGATTCTGCCTGCCAAGGATGATCTGTCAGAATAAATATGTTTCATAGGAGGCCAGCAATTACTACAGTAGCCATGTCATCTAGTGGTTAGAACAAAATACTGGCAGATCTAAAAGCTGCTTGCATAATGTTCTAATTCTGCTTGTTTTAAGGTCCAGAGGACAGCTAATTTTGCCATAATGAAAGCAACATTTTTTTCTTCACAGATTATTGTATGGGGTTGTTTATGGAGAGTGAATTGTATTCTCTTCCTTTTTTAAAAAAATGACCTTGAATGGAGACGTTTAGGGAAGCAGAAACTTGAAAACCAGAACACTTGAGACAAGGGCAAGCTTCTGCATTAATACATTCTTCATAGATTAACTACACCATAGAAAAACTCCCATTATTTTTGATGGGGAAAAGGGAAGAAACAATTGGGTGACACTGTAAGCCACCCAGTGTGATGACTGTAATTTATCCAAGGGACAAAAAAACTGTGAATGGAAGGATAAATGGGGTTGGGAGAAATGATGCAATTCCAAGAAGGGCATGGAGCAACTTCCTTGTATGTTGGCAGCTTTTAAAAATGAGTTTGTTTCTTGCCCTTCCACTGAACTGCAGAAGTACAGATTCAGAGTATGCCAGTGGTCAGTTCTCTACAAACACCCTTACTAGGCTGTTAATGCAGATTTTATCTTTTGATCTGGTGAGAACCTGTCTGAGGGCTGAATGAAATGGGCCAGGGCTTGCCTTGATGCTGTGCGGAAGCTCAGTGAGACTCTGGGGGCTGCATCATCACCATCATTAGTACTACTACTATTTCTATGCTGCCCCACAGCTGAAGAATCTGGGTGGTTTACACAGTGTACAAAATCCCTGGGCTTTCCTGTGTGTGGAACTTGAAGGAAAGCAGGGAGTTCATCCCTACAGTGATGCTGAGCTTTGGAATCAGAGTCCTCCTGGTTTCTGAGCACAGGATGCACCAAATGAGGCAAGGCCTCTCCCCTCCACTGAATCACACAGCAAACACACTTTCTGGCTGGCTTCCAAGGCTGGATGTGCCCTAAAGGATCCTCAGTTTGTGCTATAAGTACAGTTTATACTTTTCCCAGACCAGTCACCTCTTTATGTGACTGAAGAACAAAAATGTCCTAGGTCAGGCACATAAAACAGTGTGTGATGCAGGGACAACAAGTGGATCCTCATTTGTGAGCTTCTTACTTTCCTTTACTGAGTGAGAAAAAGAGCACAAATCAGACCTTTGCATGGACTGTCTGCCTGAGCTCCACTATGAAAGGAGGATCACTGGTTCAATAAAAAGGTAAAGGTTTCCCCTTGGCTTGAAGCCCAGTCACGCCTGACTCTAGGGGGCGGTGCTCATCTCCGTTCCCTTGCCAAGGGAGCCAGCGTTTGTCTGCAGACAGTCTCCGTGGTCATGTGGCCGGCATGACTAAACACCGAAGTGCATGAAATGCTGTTTACCTTCCCACTGAAGTGGCACCTTTTTATCTACTTGCATTTGCATGCTTTCGAACTACAAGGTTGGCAGGAGCTGGGACGGAACAACAGGAACTCACCCCGTTGTGCAGATTCAAACTGGCGACCTTTCGATTAACCAGCCCAGCAGTTTAAACCACTGTACCACCTGCATCCCCCACTGCTTCATTAAGTAAATGTAAAAGCCTAGGATTCAGCTAAAGGTCTAGGATTCAGCATATCAGCAGAAAGGAACTGACTAGCAGACAGACACCCAGATCTTTCAAGCAAGTTGCATAGCACAACATAGAGCCCTTCAGAATGAGCATGGTGAAAATCCTTCCAATCCACTATCAGAATGGGCATACTGTGATGTTGCTGTGCTAATACAATTGCCAATAAATTATCCCCACTGATTTTAATGGAGCTTTTTCCCATTGGTACCCTCAGGTCTCCGGATGATATCCCAGTGTTCTTTGTGGCAAAGCCTATCTCCCTCTGATCATTGTCCCTCTTTGTTCAACACCATTCTTTCCCCGCAGCTTCAGAAAAGCTCAGCTGGTGATGTGTGTAATGCTGTAAAATTATTATTACTGTTGTTGGCAGTTTTTTGCAATTGTGTAAGTGTGCATTTGCTGCTGTCTGATATATGTGTAGTCTTGCCAGGTCAATTTCTTTGCCTGTTTCACCTGTGCTGTAAGTGAGAGGCTGACAAGATAAGGCTGTGGTATGAGCTAATTTGCACAGTTGCCAGAAACTAATTGCATACTGTAAAGGGAAACAAGCACCTACTGTAGGTGTATCAAAAGTGCTATGGGACACACCTATCACCCAATTCACAATGTAATTCTCTTGATTTTAAGTGTTGGGCAGACATTTCTCTGGGCTCACCCCTCAGGCACCTTTCAACACTTCAGCAACACAAGAAAGAGGTGATTCTGACTCCTTCCCACCTTTTCTCTCAGCACAACCAACCTCACAGGGTTGTTGTTGTGGGGATAAGAATGAGAGCAGCAGCAGGAGAATGATGTAAGCTGCTTTGAGTTTTTTTTAAAGAAAATGTGGGATATGGATCTAATAAATAAATAAATTTTGCTGTTCCTTTTGAGGCACTTATGGCTGTGGTTTCTGTTGTTCCCTGACTGTTTGAAAATGCTTGAGAGAGTGGCTAAACTGGATGGACAACTAGTGCTGGTACTGGCACCTCATCTGTTCCATCCCATCCTGCTACCCTGTAAGAGTTTTTTTAATATTTGCAGATTTTTTGCACTGGGAAGTATATGCATATTTCATTACTTGAAAGTAAATGAAGTGGCAATTTGTACCAACTTAATGGTGAGACCAAAAATGGATGGGAAATTTGCATGTTGTAGTTACTGCAGAAGCAGAATCTACCCTCTATTTACTTCCCAGCTTTCAGACTTTCCCTCCATTTATTTCTCAACCATTACATTTGAATATGTTTCTCTGTGTGTTTGAGAATGGTCAAGGAAATGCAAGCGATGCAGTATTAAGTACTATGAAAAGAAGTCATGTACAGTGTGAGTGTTTGAGGTTAATATTTCTCACTTTTGGAATAGCTGGAAACTGAAGAAGTGTTGAAAAGGTGGAGGGCACTGAGAAGCGGCAGATCAGCACTTCAAATCGAGAGGATTACATTGCTAAGTGGGAGCTACTGTTCCCCCCTTCCTTTTGCCCCATTGTTCCCCTTTACCTGTGCTTTTCAATTGACAGCTTGGCAATCAGTCACTGGCAACAGAATACAATTAGTCTATGTTCTCTCAGTTCATCACTTGACATTTATGTTTACCTACTCCACTTGCTGCTTTCTGTGACTGCTAAAACATACAAGGAAACTAACTTTTGAAAAGTGCACTTTCAAAAGGCTGACAACAACAACAACAAACAGAGCTGTACATTTTGGGAGGGCAAAGAAATATAAAAGCAGTGACTGTCACCCCATAGTGCTTCTTGGGCATCAGTGGAAAGAATGCTACTGGCAGAGACTAAGGCAAGATCACGAAGAGCAGCACTGGGTTTTATCTCTTGCCAAGTGTCTCCCTGACTCCCTTCCCACAACCCACAGAGAAACTGCTCTCCTTGGTTTGGAGGACATAATAACACACAGTTGATTGAGCAACCCTTAGAACAAGCCATGGGTTGTCAGGGCAGCTTCCCAAAAAATAAACCACCCTGCAGGAAGTGGTCTGCATTTGAACAACAAAACAACCAACCATGTCTAGTTACCCACGATGGGTTGTTGTGTTATGGAAAACCAGAAATGATTGAATGTATGTAGCAACAAGTGCCATATATGAAACATCTTCACTCTCTCAACATGAAACACTCCAAGAAGGTGTTATAGGTGAGGCCTGTTTGGTAGGTTTGGCCTCATCCAAAGTGCTACACAATTTGAAACATAGATGATAGATAGATATGTAACTCTAGAGGGTGGAATTTCTTCATGTGCAAATTATATAGCATTTACCTAGAATTGGTGTGTGGGTGTGGGTGTGGGTGTGGGTGTGGGTGTGGGTGTGGGTGTGGGTGTGGGAGAGAGAGAGAGAGAGAGAGAGAGAGAGAGAGAGAGAGAGGGAGGAGACGGACGGATGGACACACAGACGCTATATAATTCTGGACTTCATGAGCTTTAAATTTTAACTGCTTCCCCAAAATTGATTCAGTGTATGGCACTTATATACATGCAGCCATGAAGAAACATAGAGACTTCTGATGACCCTGTTTCCCTTCTTGCACATCTTTCTATATTAGCTTATGTTTATCAATGCAGTAAAGCCTTTTGACCCTGCATTTGTCACTGTGTTTGGTTAAAGTAAATCCCAGTTAAGTAGTACAAATTTCTGAGCACTTAGGGACCTGTCAAAGCACTTAAATTAATTGCAGCAACCATGACAAGCAAGTTTGACATGAAGTGTTTTATGGCTGTCAGTGTACAGACAGATATTGTAAAAACTTTGCTCATCAACACATCTGAGATCCAGTGGGCAACAGAATGTTGTGCTAATCTTCTTCCAGGCAGACTGCCACTTAGAGCTGGTCTAGAATGGAAACTGTTTTCTGTTCTGTTTTATACTATAGTTTCAAAGGCTGAGCACATGTATATGTATATTTTTATACACACAAACAAGCAAGCAAGTAGGGTTTTAGTTAAATGAGTAATCATTTCAGTGCTGAATGTGCACTCTGCACAGAATTGTATCACCTATCCTGTTCCTCTTATGGATTTGTGTACTGGTACGTAACATAAATCCCCAAGAGGGATGTAGCTCTTTGTTTTATTTAAAACACTTCTATCCCGTCTATACCAAACAGGTCTCAAGACAGCTTATAGCAAAAGCAGCACAATTAAAATAGAAGATGAAAACATTAAAATTCCTATCTTAAAATACAATAAAAGATTGAAGTACCAGGTAAATAAAAAGGGTACTGACACCAAAATGAATAAAGTGTCACCACCAGGCATGCATCTCTGGGGAGCATGTTCCAAAGTTGGGGTGCTACCACACAAAAGGCCCTTCTCTGGGTAGCAACTCTTCTAACCTCTTTCAGAGGGCTCCCGAAGAAGGAACTCAGAGGAAGATCTTAAGGCTCAGGCAAATATATACGGAGGTGACACTCCTTCAGATATCCAGGCCTTAAACCATTTAAGGTTTTGTAAGTCAACGCCAACACCTTAAATTGGGCCTGGACTTCAATTGGTAGCCAGTTAGATAGTACAGGACTGACAGTATATGGGTATGCCTTCTGGTCCCTGGCTGCTCTATTTTGTACCAACTGAAGCATCTGAATCATCTTCAAGGGTAGCCTCACATAGAGCATGTTACAATATTTCAACTGGGAAGCTACCAAAGCATGGGTCACTGTGGCTAGATTCTGCTCATCCAGGTAAGGACATAATTGATGGACCAGCCGAAGCTTTTTCATAGCTTTTATTTTGTCACCTGTGGCATGACCTACCTATTAACGGGAATAACATTTTATTTCAAAGATAATTGCATTATTTTGTGAAAAAATAACAATTTTGATGGAAGAGGAACATGAGTTAGAGACACAAACCCAATGCTTTTTTGGTCAAAGAATGCACCGGAACAGAGTTCCAGCATCTGTTCTCGACAGATTTCCCAAGTTTTAAAAGTAACTTTGGAAAATTTGATGTTTGGTCCATGTGGATTTGAATCGCCCTGTCGAGCGTAGCAGGTCAGTGGCAAAATCATTAAAACGGTGCATGCGGGCTGCTTGTGTGTCAAGTCCGATGCATGCATACTTTGTCCACACTGGCTGTGACGGCGCTGCTTGGCTTATGAGTGGTCATGTGGTTGCGCTCTGAGTGCTTACTGTGGGCGGCGACCGTTATGTTTTGTTACACAACTGATGTGTGTGGGTGTGTGTACAGTGATTGACTATGTGCTAAAGGTAAATAATTTCATGAGTTCCGGCACCTTTTTTCTTACAAAAAAAGCACTGCACAAACCAAAGGAAGAAGTTAACTAAGTTTCTTGCATTCAGGGACTATGCCAAACAGAAAGGTTTCGCTTACTGTTTTGCAGTGACAGATGGGTGCAAGAAATGGGGGATGAAGTAAAAAATTGTTCTGCTGAGACATAACAGAAAAAGAACATTAGTTTTGGTCCACTAAAACATTCAGCTTTAAATCTCACTGACCAATAGGCCATGACCAGAAACATGGGGGGGAAAGAAATTCTCCTGTCATTCATACTCACAGTTGCCATGCGAAATACTGATTGGCTCAGGATCTTCTGGGAAATCAGCCCCAGCAAAGTGTAGCAGTGTGAAATATAGCAGCAAGGCTTCTGACCTCATAGTAGTTCAGCTGGGAGGCTATTTCTTTACTTCACCCTGTGAAAGACAAACAAGGGCATAAGTGCTTTCCATCAACTCATATTTAACCACTACAAACAAAAATAGGTCTCCAAGAGTCAAGAAGTAACAAAGGCGACTCTGCTGCTTTTCAGGCGTTTCATATAAAATAATGCATATGCACATTTTGAAAGACAAAACAGCATCTTGTTTTCAAATCTCAATGGGCTCTAATATGTAGTGGTACCCACCCACCCATCAAAATAGTGAATACTCCCTTTCCCTCTACTGTTGCTTTTTATTCTGGCCAAGAAAACTGTCCCTCTGAGACCTGGTTCTTGTTGAAGACTAGCTAGGCTAGGCTTTTAAACACTGAATTGGTTTAAAGTACTGAATTAATATATCATTTACTTTATCAAAATGCAATCCTATGCATGTTTAGATGAGAAAAAGTCATACGGTTCCCAGAGCATAGCAATGATGTTGGGCGTTGTGCCACCTTTTGCTATTTAATCATGCATAGGAGTATTTCCTTTGTTCTACATTAGTTCGTTCGTTAGTTAATTAATTAATGGCCATGACTGAGACACAGGGTATTTATATTCTAAATGAAGAAATAAAATAAAGCATCTACATCTGTATCAGGAAACTTTACACTGCTGGGAGTGTTCACCAAGGTTTTCCCATACAAACAAGAAATACTTTCCATAAAGAAAATTAGATGTAAGGGTGAAGTTGAGAGCATTATCTTAGGATAAGATGCAATTCTATGAAAACTGGGTCAGGAAAAGGAGCAGGCAAGTTTCATGGTCCAGCCAAATACGCTTAACCCTGCTGGGAATTGTATGCTTTTTCACTCTCTCTAAACTTGCATAGGATTGTGTCTATAATGCAGAAATCTTGTGGAAGCTGAATTTGATCTGAATCTATGTGGTGCCTGGACTGTCTTCCCAGTACCAACTGGGAAGTCCATGCACAGTTTTTTTTTGAACACAGAATAATAAATACATGTAATAAATACATTTTAAAACAGTCTAGTATTTTTCCTGATATTCTAGTTTGGGGTTTTCCTCTTTCTAAACAGATGATTGTTGAATCTAAGTTTATAGATTTAACTGGTATAGTTTAGGCAGAGATTTATCACTTTAGTGAGATCTGTCTAAGTTAGAGCATAGCAGGCCAGAGGCTGGGGACAGGATCCAGCAATTTATGGCCATCCCGGATGTTTTTTCCTAAACTCCCACTAGCTCTATCCAGCATGGAGTTGTTAGGCCAAAACATCTGGAAAGCTACACGTTGCCCACCCAGTTTTAGGGAAATAGTCCACCTACTAGTCTGGGCAGTCCATCAAGGTTTAAGTTGATGGTGCTTAATGAATTAAAAACACTATTTATATTTAGCAAGGGATTAAAGGACTTTCTAGAAGATTGATTCATACTCTGAAATGAAATAAATCAAGTACACCAACAGTGTGTGTGTCTGTGGGGAGGGGACTGATGGAACACAGTAAACATGTCATGAGACTTAAAAGAAAAAATATGGACACATAAATTTAGACACTACAAAAATGAACACTCCAAGTTGAAGTAAAATATGGGGAAATGAAACTGCCTAAAAGCAGAAACTTCACTCCTACCTACCATTTGCCACAGTCCAAACATGTTTCTCTAATTTATTTTAAAAGAAGCTAATTTGTTAAAAAAAATTAAGGAACAGATTCAGGCAACTTTTGATTCATTTTTTGCAGAATATACCAAATATCTCTTAATTTCCAGAAACATTTTACAAAGTCTTTGACTTACACAATAAAGCAGTGTAAAGACTGGACATTTCTTTTCATCCTTTATGGAATTTCAAACCTTTGATGCAGGTTTTATTTAGACAAATATTACATTTTGAGGAGTGTTATTTTATTTTAGCTTGTCCATTATAAAAAGAATGGCAGCATTTGTAAACAGGATGGCTTTTAAAAGTCCATTTGGCAAGCAAAATGCTAACTTGAACATTTGAAACTGCATTATTATTAGGGTTATACTAAGCCATCTTGCAAATACACCAAGGTGAGTTGTTTGTTCGTTGAAATTTACCCTCCATTTATTTACAAGTCAATTTACCTATAAGTATTTTTTAAAAATTGTGTGGTAACCTCAGTAACTGCAGCAGGAATTACTTTGAAAAGGAACCATGGAATGTAGCAGAGTTACTATCTTCCTTTTGGCACACCTGGTCATCTGGGGAAGGACTGAAACGTGGAGAGCGCAAAGAAGTGTCAGCTCAATAATTAAAATTGATAGGATTACATTGCCAAGGATGGGATTATGTCCCACTTGAGAAGTTATTGTGCTTCCATAAGCAGACACTGACAGGGGTTAGCTGTTTGGGGATTTGAACTCAGGTCAATGCAGGCCCAGTACCCTAGCAGTACTCTGAAAGGGAGTACTAATTCACACTCAGCAACACAAACGTGTGTGAAAGAACTATGTGGATGGGAATAGCATTCCCAGAGTTATGACTGGCCAGAGTGAGGCATAGGCAACCAAGTGACTTCCAGAGATTTTGGGGTGTAACTCCCTTCAGACTCAGCAATCGTGGTGAAGGGATGGTGTCAAAATACCACACTATTGTGTGAATAAGCAGTTAGTGGAATTTAAGCAGCCTAAACGTTTTCACAAACACTCCCATTATCTGCATAGGATTAATATAATTAGAGAGGGACAGGCTTTTCCTCAGAAGAATGCTCCTTTCAGAAGTGATGAATGTAGGATTACGGCAGGCATGACAGGTGTGACTTGGCACCATTAGGCTCTGCCTCATGGCTGATGTGCAGAGAGGGGGCCCTTCTTCCACATGTTACAGTCTGCTCAGTCTATCAGATACAGGGTTGTATCCTGTATCTCCTCTGAAGAGAAGGAGGTGGAGCAAGAAGGGATGGAAGAGCTGACAGTTTCAAGAAAATATGGCAAGGCAAGATAGTTTTTTCTTCCTTCCTTCCTTCCTTCCTTCCTTCCTTCCTTCCTTCCTTCCATTTTTACAGATTTACATTTCACAATGCTGTCAACATTCCACCCCTCCAACCAGTACAATGCAAGAAGTTAAATTTATTATTTTATTTCTATTACTCATTATTTCTGTATTTATTAGATTAACATCCCGCCTTTTTTCTTACAAAGAATGCAAAGTGCCTTATAACATTATCCTTCTCCTGCTCTCTATCCCTGCCACAAGAACCCTGTGAGGTAGGTTGGGCCCAGAGTCACCCTGTTGGCACCACAGCTGAGTGGGGACTAGAACCCAGATTGCCTGAGTCCCAGTCCCACGCTTTTAATGACTATACTGCATTCCTCTTTTTTATACCACCCAATAGCCAAACCTCTCTGAGCAGTTAACAAAAGTTTTTAAAAAATTAAAACACATTAAAACAGATACATTCAGTACGCTCCCTTTGCATATTAACAAATTCCATTTCTTTCCTTTCCTTGCCCCCCCCCTTCACATCTTTTGACAGATGTGACAGTATTTGAAAATACAATGGAAGAATAACAGTTTACTCAGAAGAAATGTATCAAGGCACTGAGACTTTCATAGAACCCCTTTTCACCCACAGCGTCAGACTGAGCATTCAAACTCAGCACAGCTCATGGCGAGTCGCCACTGTAGAAGAATAGGTGCTTTATGTTTCTCACTGTTACCACATCATCAGCTACCTAACAGTGTGCATTATATGAGGAGAAGCATTAAGACAGAGCTAATAAATCTTGGTCTCACCACTTCAGAGTTTTGCAAAATCCAGCTGTATGTGATATATGCAACTCCTTTCTTCTTGCTCAACTTTCTGGACCATTCTGTGTAACCAGGTTGAAAATCCTCCAACTGAAGTAGCTACTTGCATTCTGTGGTGTGCTTAGTTGGTCTTGTCTCTTGTTTAGTGAAAAGCTATTTCTAACTTTATCTAGTTTGCTATATGTGCTACTCCTTTCTTCTTGCTCAACTTTCTGGACTATTACGCATAAACTGGTTGAAAATAGCATGATGATATAATTATTAACATATATCAGTTCTGGGAAGATAAACAGGAAGGTGCGTGCTATTTATGTTCTGTCTGTGGCTCTTCTCAGGTAGCTCGTTGGCCCATTTGGGAACACAGCAGACCTTTGATGTGATTCAGCAGGCCTCTCCTTAGGTTCCTGCTAGTGGCAAACCCAGATTTTTCATGGAATATGCATTCCCCTGGGAGCCCCAGTCAATCACAGATCCATGGTTAGAATATCCACATTTGAGCATGTTTCTCCATTAATAATTTACATTTTCAGCTCCACAACTAAGATCTTCTAAGTGTTTAGCTAAAACTAGTCTGGTAAATAATCCCACAAAAAACATTTGCCTGCATAGAATTAACAGTAAATAAATACATAGCTTTCAAGAGGCTAAAGACATGGGGTTTTATGCTGGGTGGAGAGGAAGGAAGCCTATTCCCTTGTGGTTAGCATGGAGAGTAGGCCGACCATGTCAACAGGCTATTAAAAATAAATACATACATACATTGCTTCCTTGTGAGTGGACTGGAAGAGGAATGGCACAATGTTCCTCTGCCAATTCACTTAGAAGGCACTTGGCTTTCTCCCACTGCAGCTGGCATGCAAACCAGGCAGCCTGGCTGAGAAGGAGCAGGTTAACAATGCAGAAGGGATGCCCTGTCCTCCACAGCTGGCCAGAAAAGGATGCTCTGGCAGCTGGATCACTTGTCTGCATGCAATTACTTGTCACCTATGGCTACCAGCAGGCAAGCTGTAAAATACAAGGCTGACAGTAAAAGGTGAAGCAGCTCTAATAGGAACTTCCCTTTATGTGAGGAACAAAGTGAGAGGGCATAAAAACAGATCAAAGTCTTTACAGTTTACCAGCTGCCTCCAGACATCTGGGCCTACTAAAGTGGCTGTGGCTGAATTGGTAGGTCTCTTGTACAATGAAGGCAGGAGAGCTGTTTATGTGAAAAACAATTCTGTACTATCACTCTACTGTTTTCTATCAGCCCTATTCTA